AGATATAACCTGGAGGTGGACTTGATTTAATCTTTTCTCATGAAAAACCACAATTTCCTTCAGAATTGAGTATAAAATTGTAAATGAGGCATAAAATGTGGGGGGTTCTTGGGATTAACAAGGCCTTTTTAGGGGAATTCTGGGGGATCACATTGAGAACACTTTAGTGAACCATAATTGAGTTGGTGCATGACCTAAAAATAGTATTATCAGAGGTCATGTTGTAGTAGAGGCTGTTGTTGGCTTAAAAACATGTTAAAACTTGATATTTGGTTAAAAAAAACAAACAAACATGGATACTGTTGAGTGTGGAGGCAGAATTTCAAATGGGATATCTTACTACTTTTGATAAGTTAAACATGACTGAATGAAACAGTTCTTTAACGTTCTTCATTATGGCAAACTTAATTGAATGTTCATCTGATTGACTTTTCTCTCTTTTAATTGCCTTACTTACATCTTTCTAAGTTTGATGTGGTCCAGTAATTGGTCAGACAAGAAAATTTTGCTGTGTTTTAATGGAGATGAAATTATTTTGTTCATAAAATGGCATTTGATTACGTTTGATTCATTTATAATTGGAAGCAAAGGAGATGAACTTTTGGAGTCCATATATATGGGTGTCTATAGGGGTATCCGGAAAGGGGTCCAGAAGAGGGGATACAGGTTTTTTCAACACCTATTTCTTGTCATAATAAGTTTACATACTAAATACACTCAAGAAATCAAAGTGCTCTGTGAGCAAACTCGTGAATTGACACATGATTTTTTAGATTATGTTTAATGTTATCTGGTTTAGGGAATTTTGTGGTTGATTGTCATATCTAGAGTACGAGCAGTAGTTCAGTGTTCGCTAATGTAGCAAAGAAACAAAGTAACGTTGGGATAAGAAGGCATTACAATTGAAATGATCATGCTATTACATTTGACAAGGTGGATGATGTCATGTGTTTTAAACGTCTATCATTTTTGTTTCTGGTTCAAAAGAAAAGGTTGGAAGTAAATGTGGGTGAAAAGTGAAATTTACTGTCTTTCGTTGTAAATATTAGAAAATCAAGGCAATACGGTCTTAATGAAAACATTAACGATTCCCTCTTTATCAAATGAGACAAACGGGAACGAGTTTTGAGTGATATAACTAAGCCAAGCCTGCCACCGTCATTTTGGATCTCCGCCTGGGTAGATTTAAGTCACGTGCTAGGCAACGTATAATCAATAACAAGATAGAATTTCATTTCAGGCCTATTTATCAATTTTGTGGTGTGTAACTTTCGCATTTTAGTACGTTGTATGTATGTTGAATCTTCAAATTGTCTTGAAACTTAAAAGAAAATTGTTCTTTAAAAATTCACTGAAAATCGGTAGCTAAAATTGTTTGTTTAGGTGTTATTTGATTTTCGTGTTAACTTGTTATTTCGTCCGTCGCCGGCATCTTCTGTTGCTTCACACAGGAAAAACACACGCGACGAAACATAATGATCAATTTTGTCATCAACTCACGCCATAACAGAAAAAGCTTTTGAACATCTGTAAACTCCGAGCGCTTCGCAGTAAGTGATATTTTCAATGAATCTTCGGATTGTTTTCAAGTTCAAGGATTGTAAATTACAATTTTATGAAAAACGAAGGTTGTTCTGTTATTTCAGTGTGAATCCTTGCATGCCTGCCAGTCGCTGGCGCCGCTTGTTGAAACTAAAATGGAAAAAAAAAACTCTTTTAAGATTATCATTGGCTTCTCTTTCACCCCACCACTATTCTTAGCAACAAAGGTCGCCATTTCGTCTGTTTATTGCTCGCCAAAAACTATCAAATGCACTCAAAAGCCTAAAATCTAAAAAAAGTTTACAGGAATCGACCAATCGAGCGAGCGAGCGAATGCCATTCCCCACACCGTATCTATAACTCGCTCTTGCGCATGCGCGCAATTCACGAGTTAAAAATGGAGGGACAGAGCAGACTTTCAAGACCATTTATGGAACTTACAACACCCAAAGCCTAGACTATTGGTCTATTTGTAGAATGAATGGGGTGTGAAAATTCACAATAGACAATGTTTCTTTGAGGAAAATAATCTCATGTTGAATCTGACCGCACAAATAAAATTTCTGCACAATTTCAATCCTGAGGGGTTGGTTTTCAAAACTTTGTGGGGATTTTTTTTTTTCTTATTGGTCACTTTGCAATTTATGTCAAGCTTGCTAATCAAAATTTTACTGATGTGTATTACGTTGGAAGTCATTGTGGTAGATCCATTTTAAAAAACTGAATTCTCCCAGACAGTTTTTAGGTTGGTATCTTGGGAGTCTTCAAACATAATTTCAAGCAATCTGTACAGTTGATATACCCTCTTAATTTGTTTGAAGAGGGTCTATTTGTGAAGTAGGATTTTTTTTCTTCCAAAGTTTTCTCAGCAACTCATGCCTTTGGGCGACAAGATGTCAGGTTATGTCGCCTCTGAAAAAACTCCGAATGCCGACTGCCAATAGAAACACAAAAGTGTCCTGCAGAGTCTAAAGAAGACTCTCAGCAAAAACATACTTTGCAGGTTTTACAATCTAACAGTTAAACTGAACTGCAATTTTGATTCCAACTCTTTTTTTCAACTTAAAAGCGTCTAAAGCATGTTGCAGCAAAACTAAGTGGTTGCTTAACAAGAGTGAGCAGCAAAGATTGCCTAAACCATGGGCCTTTATCTGTTTGGTGAGATTCTTTTGCCATTCAGTGTAAAATTTCTTGGGGATGTTTATATGTTTGGAATTCAGGGATTAGCATGTTTTGCTGCAAGAAACCCTTCAGGAGTTATTTATGTTGACATAGCATGACACTTTGGCAGACAAAAAAGTTCAGTTCAAAAATAACTAGTGCGTGTTTCAATATTTTACCAAATTTTTTTTGTGGAAATAATAGTTAAAATGATAATGCTTAGTTTGCTATAAAAAGAAAATTTCAGAAAAAATTGGCCCTTGAAGGTCTACCATATCTTTAACCACATGATGGACATGTCAGCACCACATGTTGATCGACTTATGTGTCTTAAGAAGGGTATAGGTTTTGGACCTTGGATGCCCTTTCTACACTTGGCATTGAATGGTTGAAAATTGCAACAATGAAAGTGTAACCGAATAAAATTGGTAGATACCTTGTAAATGTTATTCCACATCAAATTACCACCGACATTTCTCACTATATCCTGGCTCTTTAGAGGCCATTGTTGTTTTCACATATATCACTTTTATTGTTACAGAGCATTTTTCTTTTAGTTGTTAATGAATCTAATATTTAACTGTTTGACCACATACTGCAGGGGCAAAAAATATTTATCCTGTTGTTGAGACCCTAAGGCTCTGTTTACTTTGGGTTGTAGCGAAAACAAAGACCCCTAAAAATAAAGACATGAGACCTATAAGATGAAGACCAAAAATGTAGACCCTTATTTTGTCTATCAATAATGACAAAGGATATGATCAAATGCGAATTCTTCCCAATGCTCAATATACCTCTCTGGTCAGTACAAGTTAGCTTAAAATGCCAAAGTGCAGGCCTTTCAGTCAATCCACTGATGTCTAAGCACGCTATAGTAATTTTTTTCTTCTTCTGGTTGCTGTCTGCATCTCAGTCACATCTCTGCTTAAGTTCTCCAGTCTTCTTGCAACTGAGAAGAGTTAATACTCAGGAGGTGATGAAAAATAAAGTTTCAAAAGCTTGGCAATTAAAGCTACAGCCGTGAAATTATCTTCCACTGTTAAAAAGCTGAGAGCAATGCTGTAACACCTACTGGTATCAGCCAGGTCGAAAGTTCAAATTGGCAAGCTCTCTTCTCCTTTTAGAATAAGGACATCAGGGGTGGTGGTTAGAAATTTTGAGGGGCACTAGAGTTTCCCAAAAAAAATTAAGAAAGCAACAAATAGGAAAGTTAAAGGAAACAGAGTGATCTGTGGTTTAGCATTTCATGTAATGGAGGGTAATTTTGCTTTTATTTTAACTGATAAATGATCACGTTGCAAGCAGAGAAGTTGCCAAGCTTTTAGCTGTTTTTTATTGGGATGCACACTTCCTGTGTCTAACTTGCTTTTTTAGGGTCTTAGGTCTTTGTTTTCAGAAAATGAAGTAAATTTAGCTAATTTTGATTTCCATTCTAAAGTTGGTAGGTTGTTGAGAGATTTTTTATTTCGGGTAACATGTGTCATTTATGCTCAAGATGAAGCAGTAAGTTACTAAATTGAGGGGTTTGAACATTTCACCATTATGATAGTACTTTGGTGTCCTATTATACTTTGAAGGTCTCTCTGCAGGTTGGCAGATTTATACAAGTTTCTGAGAATAGGGGTCAAACACATTAAAAAACACCATTTTGTCTGTACTTGATCTTTTATTAATTTTATTAAACCAGAATTACTGTAGTTGGTGGACTATTATCAAACATTTGAGCCTCTAGGTTGTTATTAATTTGCAAATGACTCGCACTATGATTGTACATGATATTTGCCCTAATAGTCCTAAGAAGAAAGATAATTTCAAATCTGTGTTTGTTGTTTTGGTTTTCTTTAGTCTGCTTTCATGAATCATGTCTTTGACTTTGTTGTATAGGCACCAAATTGCCAGGTGGCTATTAAACTATGTAATTCCATGAGCACTGGATTGAAGACATTCAAACTCAAAGTTCTACATGTAACATTGATATTGTGCGATAAACATGAAATTAATTTTACTTGAGAAATGATTTTTAGTTTTATTTGAGTGGTTCTACGCACTTTAAGTGAATGTTCAATGCAAACAAGGGGTTGGAACTCAGTCAAAGAGAGACCACAACCTGCTTAAAAGAAGTGGCCACTTTATAGAAAGAAATTGGGCACTTTGAAAACCAACTGCTTATTACAAGGTGACTATTAAATGTAGTACTGCTTAATAGAGGTTCAAATGTATTGTAAAACTATGAAAATAATGATAAAATGGGCTGTCAAATGGACACAAATAATTACTATTTACATTTTCCATTCTTTCTACAGGAAAGTCCCCCTAAGTCTATCCACGTTAGTTATGTGACTGGGGAGTCAGCAAAATTGAAATATAAATCAAAGGTTCTTGACTTTGACAATGCATTGAAGAGGTCACATTGGGAGAAAAACGCTTCCCTCATCTCAAGAACAGACAAGATATCTTTTAGAATCAACAAGAATAAGAGGAAGTTTTGGTTGAAGATCAAGAAAGTGGATGTCCATGATTCAGGGATATATTCATTTGTAGTAAATGGTACAGTTCTTAGGCTATGGCAGCTGAACATCCAAGGTGATATTAATGTACTTTTGTGTAATGTATGTACTCATAAGTATTATACACCAGCTCTCAAAAGTGTTGCAATTTTGAAACTATACATGATTTGTATATTACCTTTTTCTGTAATTATAATGCTCTGTCACCATCTTTTTGATGATAAAACAAAAGGCATATGTCCATCATTTTTGGTTTTTTTTTTCTGAAAAAAAAAAACACTCCATGTTAAGGTTAAGGGTGTTGTTGCTCACACCAATCAGATCGCCACTTTAGGGTTTGTATCTTGCACCAATTATATCAAAACGTTTGGATATCTTGCACCAATCAGTGCATTTGGGTATGGTTTTCTTGCAAATTATCTCATGGAATCAGAGGACTGAGCACAAAAAATGACATTAATCAGAAATTTTGGGCTCATTTGATAAGCGTAATGGTTTGTGGCCTTTGCAGGAGCCTTATTGAATAATATTGAGATTTATCGGGATTTGAAAAGTTCACATTTAACTTTTTTTTTTATCATTTTTAAGTTAAAAACATGTGGAACTAAATGTTACTGATATTTAATTTTCCTAGTGATTTTCCTGCATTCTGACTTTTTCTATGAATAAAATTTACTTTTAGCTACCTTGGACTGAACCCCATCCTGTGTTAATTCCTTGTAAGCAACCTGCATTTTATCACCTATTTCACACAGGGGGCAAAGTCCAGACAGGGAACAACCAGTGAGGGAGCCCTCTTTGAAATATTATCCTTTTCTCTTGTTCAATGGATCCTCACTTATTCGAGATTGCAATATCTTTGGTTAGGGTCTATTGGAGATACGACAAAGTTTCAGTTTGTTTTTGTAGTAAAATGGCATGGAGTTATATTTTTGGGGTAACCAACTGTAGACAAATAATTTTGATATTCTCTTTGTTAGAGGAATCGCAGTAAGTGTAGGTTCTTTCACAACTGTTATTTGGGCTCGTCATACAATGCTCTCTCTCCAACTGGGAATGGAGGGCATTGTGTATCGAGAACAAACAACGGCTGCAAAGGAGACAATGCATTTTATTTTTGCTTAGAAGTATTTAGGCAATAGAGACAATAGACCACAAAATACCTGTGTGAGTTCAGATAAAATAGGTTTTTTTTGTCTTTCTCCTAGGGTGAAGTAATGCCATATTTTCATTCTTTTGAAAGTTATGCTCTTTTTCTATAACAAAAATGAAAACATTAGGTACACAAAGTGTCCCATCTTAACCCACCCAGCTAAAAAAATAACTCGCGCATGCTACATATACGCATGTTTGTGTTTATATTTTAATTGCAATATTCAAACAACAGCTACATTTATATAGCATTTGATTGCAAAAACACTAAAAACAACACCTAAAAAGTGTTGCATGTAGTGAATGGAGACCATCTGCAATATAACATTTCTGCAATTGATTGTATACATACATACATACATACATACATTACATACATACATAACAACTGAATTCAGTAGAAGTAAGACTAATCAGTGCAGGGGAAGAGAACAGGACCCACAGGAAAGAATGCCGCATTTCCAATAACACAGAGATGATCCACAAGTACAATTTTTGTGACAGAGGCTGCCATTTAGGCATCGGCCTATTCAGTCACTTGCAGGCAGTGCTGCTCCAGTACAGCAAACAATTAGGTTTCTCTTCCATGGTCATCACATGGTCATCACATGGTCATCAGACCAGCGAAGGCTGACAACAATGATATTGTAAAATTATACATTTTAAGAATGGAGAGTTGTAACTCAAGTTTAATGCAGTAAGCAATCAATTGACAGAAGTTTTCCAATTTAAACAGAATCTAATGTAAAGTTTCAAAATTTTAATTCTATAACAGTTGGAACTGCAACTTCTGTTGCTGGTTAAGCAAGAAGTTGTTCTCATGGCAACATTTGCTTAGCAGTTTGGATTTCTTGTTCACCAAGTTGGCATTGTGGGTGCTTAAGATGCATAGCTTCTATGATAAGCATAGATTGTGGTGGGATGAGTTTTCTATATAATTATGTAGGTATTTGCCCTCTTGATGATGCACCCTTTGAGGTTGTATCCTGTGTCAGTCTTCCAACTCTCTGATGCATCTTAAAAAATACAAAAACATACTATATTCAAATTTGTATAAATGATAGCTATTTACCAAATGTATTACAATTAAGAGTTGCATAAAACACAATTTGACAACATTACTAACCAGTGACTTCAGATTTTAATTTTCTAATGGACTTCATAGAGCCATCTAGTGTGTCTGAATTGGGTTGGCTTGATGTTGGCTTAGACCACAGTATAGGTCCCAAATATCTAATTGAATGCTTTCCATAACTAATTATGATCAATTTTTTCTAGTGGCTCTCTGAAACCCTGTGGATGGCCGTTTCATGAAATAGGTAACAAAGTGTTGTTGTTTACATTATTTGCAATAGCAAGTATAGTTTATACATATGATAATCAATGAAAATACAATTATCATCCACAAAACAGTATATTTAACTGTGGATAGACCACACCTGCATATCGGCTGCACCTCTAACTTTTGATTAATTTTGGTGGAAAAGAACAATTAGTAAAATGTAATCAAAACTCAAACAAAAGATAGGTCATAAAATTTAAAAAGCTGGCATAGAGTAAAATGAGCATGAGGTATAGCACTGACCTTCACTTGGGCTTCCCTCTATGATTGGAGTGTTACTAATTGGGCTAATGAAGCGATAAATAAAGGAGTAACAAGGAAACAAGTAATGGAACTATGCCCTGAAGTGTCTTTCTAGAATTTCACAAAGTAAGAATGAAGACATCTCCAGATTTACTTTTGTTGTATTAAGTGCTCCTCGCCTTAAACATGGGAATTTTCATGTCAAAACTTTTATTTACAGTTTATCATAGCATAACTGAACAAGAAAGTTGGAGTTTAGGCACAAACCCAATACTATTTTGAATAATTTTGATTGTTTCCGATCTGGTGTGCAACACGAGCCATAGAAACATTGAAAGGTCATTGGTTAATTGATTTTATTTAATTATCCTATGTCAACATAAGCAGCTAGATATATTGGTATAACCTTGTTTTGAACACTTCAATGGATGAGGATAGTTGTGTTTCTTTTAAAATTGGTGGAATTGACTGCTGCATATCTTTAAATTTGACTCAGTACCAAAAGGAAAAAGAAAACCTGCAGTCACAAAAATATATCTCAAGGTATATTTTAGGGCCGGAGATGTAGAGGTTCATTATCAAATAATCATAGTAGAAAACTATAAAAACAAAGATTATCACGTTGCAACACAAACACTACAATTTGAAGGGTGAAACTTTGAGCTATCCTGCATATACATGAGGTGTCAAAATGCTTGTACCCTTGTATAGGACTTACCCTAAACTTTTGACCCAATTTTTTCAATTAAAAAAATGCAGCCTATTTGCAAGTAAATACGATAGGTGATTTACAAAACTTTGTAAATTGTTTTATCATTAAATTTTTAATTTTTTATCAATATACGTAATACAAGTAACAAAATGATATTGGCCATGGACTGCAATAATGAAAGATTGAGCAAAAAATATATTTTTGACACTGAGTTTGAAAATCTGTATTACTTTGTAGAAAAGTGTTCACCGTATTTTGAATTTGCATTATTTAATGTTATTAATAAGTAATTTATAGTACCTGAAATTGTGGCAGGAAATGAAACTTAAGAGCACAACTTTGTCACTGTCAGCCAATAGTATTAACCATGCAAAAGCAAAACAAGACAAAAAGGCTCCATACTTTATGAATTTGGTTAAGATTAAAGGAACATGGACATTCATTTTGAGTGCAACCCTAGATTTACTACTTCACACACAAGCTTCCTTCAGGCACATGTGCCAAGATACAACTGCCGATGAAACAATTGATCAGGAAACACAGAAATTTTAGAAATTTCCAAGACTGATAAGGAAGGAGAATTTTTAAGATTATGAAGTATCCAATCTTGTGCGTTGTTGCAAACTGCATCTTTATATGATTTAGTATAGTCAAGATGTGTTCAATCTTAAGTTCTAAGCACAGAACTAGGAGTTGTCATGAAATATATCAAACATAATAGTTCTATGGCACATTACTCTTTGCCAAAAATTTGTAATATGAGACAGACTGAAGCAAACATACTTTGAAAACTGCAAAGATAAATATGATTGCAGTGTGATCCTTCTCTTTGACAGTCACATCTTGTGTGCCATTCAGTAGGCAGTCCCACCCAAATTGCTTATTGTTCCCAGGAAAATCATTGAATGTTCAAGGTGCTTATCATCTTTATAATGGAATACCCATCATTCAAGTTAACTGGACAGCACCCAATACAGGTTAGTTGCTTATGATTTGAATTTGGTATTTCCATAGACTTTACATTATTTTATGCACTGTTCTTGTACATTCTTGTTGTTGTAAACAGATAGAACTTATTGTGAATTGGATGTGATGATTAAGGCTTGTTTTGTCCTTTTGTTTAAATGTCAGACAAATGAAGTTGATATGCAAAATATCTGGATATGTTTGGGAAATAATTTCAGCCAACATGTACATGTATCTTAGTTGGAATTACTGTTAGACATTTAGGGCAGTTTGTATTCATCTTCTTATTATTATTATTATTATTATTATTATTATTGTTAATGTCTCAAGCATATGGAACAATTCAAAATATAATTTGTGAAAAAACATTTACTCAAAATGTTCCTTGAGTCACTGCATTCAAGGTCATAATTTGTATCCTCAAGTAACAGGCTTCATGCATGCTTTTAGCTATAAATTTTTTTCCCTTCAATAAATTTTTTTCATTTCTCCAATTTACAAGGGGCAATTTGTGCACAAAAATTATGCATTAAAAACTGTTGGTCATGGTGCTTATTCGAGAGCTGAAGACCATTAAACCTCATTATTTGGGTCTAGTTGTTCAAAGGGTAAATGACACTATCCAACAGATAAATTGCAACCCAGCAGATAAGTCTTAACAAAGCATACTTATTTTATATTTTACTTATTTTATTAGTAATGCCATCCATTGAGTAGCAATTTATCTATTTATCTGTTTTTTGTTGCGTTATTTGCTTTGAATAATGGGGCCTGGTCCATTGATTGAAAAGCAATACAGTACGTTATCTCTGTATGCGGGCACTTATTAGCTTGATTACATGATTTTTATGTGCAATACGGGATGCGCAGTGAAATAACAAGGCATAAATGTCTAAAATAAGGTGAGATGACAAAATGTCACGTACATGAAATACAAGAATTGAACAAAACCTCCACCTCCTGATATCTTACTCTCCCTGTTCCCATGTATAATCAACCATCCCATGAAATGAAATGCAAGAGCATGCCTATTATATTTTATATTCCCTTAGTAGCAAAAGACCATTGTGCTGGCATTCATACAGCCTGCAGTTGTACGAGTGGTGCCACTTATGCAATAGTGACTCACGTTTTGCTCCAATTACATTTCTAGTGCTGAGATTATAAAAGGAGAAAAACACTACTGTGGATCATTACGTAATCAAATGAAAGTGAGCCAAAATGTCTGCTTGCATAGTTCTTTAAGTCTTTTACTATTGAGTTAATATAAAATATAATTGGCATTCTCTTGCATTTCATTTCGTGAGATGGCTGATTATACATAGGACCAGGGAGGGTAAGATTTCAGAGGGAGGTAAAGGTTTTGTTTGATTCTCATATTTCATGTATGTGACATGTTGTCATCTTGCCTTATTTTAGACATTTATGCATTGTTTTGGATGGTTTTAGATAGTTTGTGAGTGGCTGTGGATGTTTTTGAGGTGGTTGTAGGTGGTTGTTGAAATTTTTGAGGTGGTTGTAGGTGGTTTTAATTGGTGGTTCTAGGTTGTTCCATGTTTTAGTACTTTATAGGACAATCAACTTCTCCAGAAATTAAGGGTTATTTATTGTACCATTGAGATTAGCTATACTACTAGCAAGAACCAGAGAAAAATCCCTGAGATAAAGGGAGCAATGGAAGACCTCAAAGACAAACCTTTTGGACATACTTGTACACTGTAACTGTAACCCAATCCAGTTTCTCTGATGTCTCGTTCAGTCACCAAATTAAAACTTAATCCATATTTTTTTCACATGGTTTGTATACAAGAAAGAAGTGAATGTTTGGAGACAAGTTTCTTTAATCAGCAATTCATCATATCTCAATAACATGAAGACATCATAAAACAACACTTGAAAAAATAGCCAACCATTTTCACTGCAGTCAAAGGAGCCTATCACAAACACTTTTGTGGCTCATGGATCACCAAGGGAAACTCACTCTACCACTAGTCTGATTGTCAATAGAAAAGAGCCCTGAAAACAACTAAGTATTACAATTTTGTTGCAGACTTCACCATTGGAAGTTTACAGTACATATCCAAAGTCACTAAATGTTCAGCCATTACAACTCAGTTTGTCCTGATGTTAAATGTGTGTGCTTCCTTTGTAATACCTTTATAATACCTCTGATGTTAAATGTGTGTGCTTCGTTTGTAATACCTCTGGAGTGGTCTTCTCATGTCATGAGAAAAGAAAAAGAAATATTTTAGCTCTGTACCTATCATCAATACCTTGTTTAAAGCATTATCAGTTAACTTCTGTTGTGTCCTTTTGTTTTTTCCTCAAGCTCTTTTTGGTAGTCACTCACTTATTATGGCCTTGTTTGAGAAAATGTTATATTAGACAATCAGTTTAACTGACATGCATAATGTTATTTATCTCAAGACCGGATTAGAATTAGGACTGAAAAATTATCTCTTTTTAAAACTTGACCATCTCTTATCCATTAGTAAATTTATTTCACTTAAAGTAATAATGCGACAAAACAAAACGAACTTTATCAAAAATGCCTTATTTTCATTATCTTCTATAGAAGTTAGCTCAAGGTTATTTTGTTATTGGCGTGCTCTTTGTTATGGTGATTTGTTAGGTTTTGGTGATTTATGGGGCTATCAGGTGTATATTTCTGGAAAAGAAGGACACCTTGGTCACTACGACTGTGTACAGATAAACAGAAAGGTAAACACTAAATAGTTTTAGTTTTGGTTGTGGAGGTTGTATAATTTTACTTCATCAATATAAGAATACTTTAAAGTTGCTATTTTAATTTTTGTTTGTTAGAAAGAATACTTATATCTACAGCATTACGTTTACTCCATCCAGTCTTGAGCCAACAAAACCCAAATAGTGATGGAATCAACTCTTTAATTTCTTCCCCCATTGTTATATTTTATTGTATTTTGATTTATGTTTTTACGTACGAATAACCATTACCTAGTCTTATCTTGATTGTTATATTTTATTGTATTTTGATTTATGTTTTTACGTACGAATAACCATTACCTAGTCTTATCTTGATGGTAAAATAAATACAACACAAGAAAAATATTAAAGTACAGCTTCTTGAGGTTACGATTACGTGAAAATCAGTATGAAATCATTTGAACTTGTGTTACAGAATTACTAGCCTGTAAGTAATCTTTCAACTGTATCAAAAGTAACTGAAGGAGTTGTATTTCTTCAAATTGGCAACTTTATGAAGAGGAATGGTCTCTACTCGACTATGGGGTCCAACGTAGGTTTGGCTGGATGCAGGACGAGTCTTTAAATTGAGACAGGACGTAGAATACGAGACATTTTTTATTCCGGGATGCAAGATGAAAATAGGAAGACGAAATGAGGATATGCTCTATTCTGAAGGCAAGATAGGAGATAGGATGGGTGTTGTCAGGATCGTGACTCAGCTAAAGTTGATAGTTTTACCTCAGGAACATTAAAAAGTATTTATTTGATTTAGAAACAGGCTTAATAAATGCACCCATGAAAATTGGAGTTGATAGGTCTAAATAACTCCGTATTATGTCTAGTCTTCTCTGTATTTGTTACATATGCTTACTTGGCTCCAAAGTATTTCCGGTTTTCTCCCCTTTGTCATAATTTTGCTCTTACGAGTATGTCTTTGAGTATGCCCCTTTCTGTATGACATTATGGGCGGTTCTTTGAAGATTTCTCTTAGTGATAGTTGTTGCCGTATTAAATGCCACTTATTTTGCTCATAAGGATTTATTTGGGGTTTGGAACTGTTCGGTAGTATTGCGTTACAAAGGGCAAGATTCTATTATTTTCTTTTCCCTGTTAGAGGAAGACCTGTTTACGTCCTTCAAATTTCGCTTCCGAGAGTGGGCTGTCGACAAAAAATTTGGGTAGCCTCTCTCTGCCAGATGTGTTTTGAATTGTCTGATGTTTCTTTAAGATCTTTTTTTTTAAGCCTTTCTTTGCTCCTGGTGGATGACATGTTGTGTAAAACGTGTACTGGAATGCCTCTGTTGGTTTGAAATGGATTCTGATGTCGAGAACTGACTCCCTGTTGGATCTTTTATCCTTATAGATAATGGTGTCTTAAAAAGTAGCTTCTGAAACAGATATTTCAGCCGTAAATTTGTTGTTGGGTGGTGTTCATTTGCTTGTTTAATGAACAACATCTTTGCAGGTGTGCAATAGAGAGATTATGTCGTCGATGTAGCGTTTCCAAACGAACTGTTTGTTAGCGCCTTTATGTAGGATTTTTATTTAAGCCATAAGGATATTTACAATAGCTAATGCCATTTGGTGCCATGGCTTTCTCTAGTAAACACTTTGGAATGGACGTGAGGGGGATATATTTGTGTATAAGCTCAAAATGCCCATTGAAATGAGTATCGATCACTTCTTTCGGAAGCTTTTTTTTTTTTTTAGAGACTTGATCAAGTCTGTTGCATCTTTGAGATATGACCTCAGGTGTTGTGCGATTGGCTGAAGAATTGTATATATGTAACAGGATAACTTTTCTGTTGGTCCTCCTGTAGGTGGAGTTTTTGTGTCTCAATTATAAAGACTATAAATACAGCGTCGACAAAATCTGGATCGGACCGGATCGGATCACGGAACGGACCACATACCAGATCACGGATCGGATCACGGATCGCAAGAAAAGCGTAAAATTTCGGAAGATTACGAGACTGAAGCATCCAATCTTGTTAGCTATGGCTCGTACCAAGCAAACCGCTCGGAAATCAACAGGTGGAAAACGTCCTCATAAACAGTTAGCCACTAGGGCGGCCCGCAAGAGTGCTCTCGCTACGGGCGTGAAGAAACCTCACCGTTGCAGACCAGGCACAGTTGCACTTCGGGAAATCCGTCGTTATCAGAAGTCTACGGAGTTACTTATCCGCAAGTTGCCCTTTCAACGGCTTGTGCGGGAGATCGCGCAGGATTTCAAAACCGGTCTGCGATTCCACAGTTCCGCTGTATTAGCGCTCCAAGAGGCTAGCGAACCTTTTTTGTTGGGTCTGTTCGAAGATACCAATCTGTGCGCCATCCACGGATTGAATCACAGATCAGACAAGGATCGGATTATGTCAATTGAAATTAGAAATTTTGCGCAACAAGCCAAAATAAAGCACATAATGAAGCGAAAACCCATTTTTATTTCTGATGAAAACCGAAAACCAAATGCTAAACTGCGTAAAGTCCGCAAACTGAAATGAACAGCAAAACCAAAAAACAGATCTAAAAGTAGCCAAAACTGCAAAACCAAAAATCCCAATGCCTCCTTTTTGATTGATATGTACCTCCCGCTTGCCTTTGTCCATGGCAGCACTACAAAACACTCCTCGACACAGCCGTGAAAGTGACTACATGGAGGTTTTAGGACAAAAGAAACTTTCAATTGGGCCTGTACTCTATTATATTACGTAGGCTCTATTTTGATTTGATACCCAACATCTCTTATTTTCGTTGAAATATTTTTAATTTCTTCACATCTCCTTTTATCAAACTCTTTATTATTTTGTAAAGGATTAAATTGTTTTATTTTTCAGAACTCTCTTTCTTTTTCAATCTGCGCTTAGTGGCTGTTTTTATGCTAGAGACGTTAGAGTTGTCTAAGACGTTAAAGTCGTCTCGAGACGACTTTAACGTCTTAGACAACTTTTACGTCTCTAGCATAAAAACGGCCAGTCATGTCAGGCAGACTTTATTTTGGCTTGTCACGCAAAATTTCTAAATTTTTTTTAACATGATCCGATCGGTGATCTGATTCTTGACCTGATATGTGATCTAATCCGTAATCCAATCCGTGATCTGATCCGTGATCCGATCTAGTGCGATCCAGGTTTTGTCGATGCAGCTATAAACAAATCAAGAAACAACCTTAAGCCAGGTAAATATGCCTTAAGGACTCTTTGCCTCTCTCCATAATGAGAGGACTCGTAAAGGCTATAATTTGTCCATCAGTTTAGAAAGGACAGTGATATAGAGCAACTTGGGTTAAACTAGGTGGGATGGGGATGAAAATGTTCATTGCAGCGGGATGGCGGGATGGAATAGAAGGTAGCCGTAGGATGCGGGATCGGAAAAGTATATTTTGGACCCTTTGTCTACCTACTGTCGGTCAAATGTCTACCGAGTGTCGACCAACTGTCTGCCGATGCATTTCTAACTAGTTTCCATTTCAATCAGTGAGAAGTGTCGGTTGTGTGTGGGTGTTGGCGGTGCGTGGGTGACTTCTTTTACATCTAATTAAAGCTTTTGAAGGAGGATCAAGCTACTATACTTCTCTTTTTCTACAAAACTCGCACTCATTTAGGTTTAGTTTGATTTTGTTGCTTAATTAGTATGCTTTCGTTGGCGATAAACTTTGCAAAGTAACCATTCTCATATGGCGCCCTTTTGTTTGAGTTTTTTTTCTCAACTCAGTTCCACAAATTTTATACACATCTTAAGCAAACTGATCATTAGTCAGATTAATAGGGCTGTAAGTTTGAATTCTTTTTTGGTCTTTTTTTTCTGGTGTTTAGCAGCTCCTGAAGGAGCCGCTTTTTTTCAATAAATGATCCATTATTGTAGAGGAAACTGCTCAGAGTTGTCTTCCAGCAGCTGGGAGAATGTTCTGTCACCTGTAAAGTCCCTGAATCACACAAACTCATCCAAGTAACTTGGTAGATGCTTGTAGAGGGTTCCAGGTATCGACTTCAACTTTTTTCAAAAGCTCAAAAGGATGCAGACAAAATCGCGAAGTTCTTCAGAGAGACAGAAGTGCGCATCGCCAACCACAAGCATTGGGTCAGAGAGAGAGAAGAGCGGCTTAGAGAGCTGCAGAACCAGCCAGAGCCGCCGAACAACTAGCAACAAACTACTGCCGCGAAAGTAAACGGGAATAACCTCTTCCTAATCCACAGGCGTAACTAGGCAGTGCTCACCTTGATCAGAGAGAGAAAATGCAGCTTGAGCGATACATACAGATTAGCCCGTACTGCCAGAAGTAACATATGCTATTTCTTGGGAATTGCTGAGTTGCACATCGTCAACAATATGCGATCTGTAAATAATCTCAAGTAATTTGGTATATTAAGCACTTGTAAATTTTTCAAAGACTAGAAATTGCAATCGCTTTACAGGGTTGTGCAATTTTGTTGTATTGAAAAACTGATGCAAATTGCCCTTGAAATAATGTTATTACCTACACGTATTTGACAGAAATTAAGAAGACGACTTATTTCTATGATTTGTTGGGGTGTTCCACAAGGGTCCTTTCTACTGAACATGATTTACTGTTCAGAACTGTTTACCATCATTAAACAATGCCATCTAGAGGCTCACTGTTTTGCTAACAATTGACAGCCATATCTTTCTTTTAAGTAAATAAATTATAAAATTATTCGAGATCAAATTGTATGTTGTTTCCTTTTTAGAAGGAAATATTGTCCTGGATCTTTCACAAAACAATCAGATATGGAGCAACATACCAGATCACAGTACAGAGTATGCCATCGCGTTACGAGAATGACAACAATTTAGTAAACCAGAGTGTGCAAGTACCAGGTATTTTTCTTGATAACCAGCCATACTATGATTTCAGTGATCTTGTTAAAACATACTACATAAAGTGGGATGATGGAAACTGAAACTGAAGAATACATGACAGGTGTAATTGGGAAAATGAATATTTTGGTTTGAAAACTTCAGAAGAATGGATAACAGCCATACCACTGGAATAATTAATAACACTGAGTTTTGCATCTTAACTTATCTTTTGTAACATCCTATTTGTCTCATTAGTAAAAGTAAAACTTTCCATCCTTCTCCTTCTATTTGATCACAGGATCTTGGTCAATGACTCCTGTAGGGTTTTTTGTTTTGTTTTTGATACCTTACCCATGTATCCACCAATTGATATAAATTTAAAGCATAGTGTGTGGTTACTCACTACTTCCTTTTTCTGACTTGTTAATATTAATAAGATGATTTCCTTTTTTTTACAGAGAAGTGTCAATTTAAAGTGTACAGGAATTCGTCAGAGTGCTGTAAGTTGTTTTTAATTGTATTTTTTTTGCTTAGGGTTAAGTTATGTCAGCTTTGTACAACTGTTACCTTCTTTTCCTATTTGAAATCGAAGTTCTAAAGCGAAAAAGTTTCAAAATGTGGTAAAAGTTTTGCTTTTGCTTTAAATTCACTTGTTAACTTTAGGTAGAGATTTTAAACAAAAAAATTTCCACAGAGTTATTGAGTATTCTGACTGTTCAGAAGATTATGCTTTGCATAGTTCAGTATTCCAATCGACGGAATCGCCTTTTTAAAACAGTACAAGAAAATCCTAAAGCCAGACTCCTGGCAGTCTTATCGTAGACAACAGAACAAAGTTAGATCCCTTCCTTAAACGCCAGGAAATGAAAGCCTTTTGCTATACGGTCTTTACAAACACTAAGAACCCAGGTGAATTCTGGAAAAGATAAAACCTTTACTGCCCAACTGTAAATCTGGTTCAACAAATATAATCAATTTGATGTAAAATAATGTTTTAATAACTGATTCCAAACTTGTCGCAGAGACCTTGAACGACTATTTTGTCAATGTTGCTGGTTCTAAGGATTCCACTTTCGAGGACTTCGACGATCATCCAAAGCTTATGGGTTTGACACAGATGCCATTAATCTTATCAAGTCTTATTTGCTTGGTCGTCGTCAAAGAGTTCGACTCGACAACGTTTTTTCTGAGTGGAAACCAATCACAGCTGATGTACCTCAAGGATCTTTACCTGGACCCCTCCTATTCAATATTTTTATCAATGACTTAAACGATTTCATCTCCACCGTGTCTCTCCGCTTATATACTGATGATACAACTGGATAAATTTAAATTAAACCATTAACAAGGAACTTAACGCTATTATAGAATGAGTTGCAGTAAACCATCTATCAATAAATACTGTGAGAACTCAAGCTCTTGTCATCGGCACAAACACTTATAAGTACGAACTTTGGTTAGGCGATACTCCTGTGGAAATAAAAGACTCTCTAAAGATACTAGGAGTTATCATTGACTCGAACCTGACCATTGAGGAGCATTTAAAAACCCAGGTTAATAAGGCATATGCTAAGACAAACGCTTTACGTAGAAATAGACGTTTTATTCCAATACATGTAATGATTCAATTATAAAAAGGCTTTTATTCTTCCTCATCTTAAGTATTGCGGCCCAATGCTTATTGGAATAACTAAATCTTTATCTGATAAATTAGGAGATGCAAATTACTATATTCTCAGAACGTTATTTGGTTTACCTAAGTCCACTTCGTATGAAAGTGTTTTTAGATTAATTAACACACGTACACTAGAAGAATGGAGGTTTTTTCATGTTTTGACCCTACTTTTTACAAGTTTCAATGGGAATGGTCCTAGTTACTTTAAAGATTTCTTTAAACTTCGTACAGTCAATTATAATCTTAGTGACTTAGAAACCCAGACACTAAGCTTGAGCAAAATTCTGTTAATAGCAAGTAGCGCCTTATATTAATTCCTTTGCATCCATAGCCAACCACCTTTGGAATACTTTACCGTGCAATATTTGTTACTGTGCCCTGCACATGGTTGTTTATAGTCTTTTATTCTTATGTAATTTTCCTTTTTTTTCAGTAATTTGCACGTGCGCATTTTAAACGAGTATGCTGAATGTTCCGAGGCATTATGTGGATAAATAAACTATCTATCTATCTATCTATCTATCTATCTACCTACCTACCTACCTACCTACCTACCTACCTACCTGCCTATCTATCTATCTATCTATCTATCTATCTATCTATCCATCCATCCATCCATCCATCCATCCATCCATCCATCCATCCATCCATCTATCTATCTAATGGTCTATCACTGTTTTGACTACTCTTAAGCTGAACCTTGAATCCAAATTTCTCGTCATTTGGAAGAAATATGAAGAAAGTCTTAAAGGAATCAAAGGATGTAAACACTATTGCATTAATACAATCTCCATCTGCTGGCAAAAAAGGAGCTAAGACTTCTTCAGAGAAAAAAGTTGTTAAATTTCAAGAGTAAACGCGAAAGCAGAGGTCAAGTTAAGAGATTTCTTTGTATGGACTATTCAATTATTGACATCAAAGCTGAGAGAAACTAGGGAAAATGAGGATGTCTTGCAAGCATAAACAGAATAATTTGTGGCAATAAATGATTGTAGATCCTCATCCATATCACAGTGACAGGCCATGCGATAATAAAGAAAAACTAAATATAAAACAAAAAGCAGAAAATGCTAATCAGGAGGGGGGAAGTTCGATTGGATTGAAACAGAATACATTGTTACATAGATGTAACAATGCCTTAAAATCCTCTTTTTGTTTTATGGCTCTCATTTTGTTCCTCAAGTTCAAAGTTTTGAACCTAAGTTTTCAAGAAAATTGCAACATACTTAAAATATGGTGACCTTGTTTCTTCAAGCAGATATCTATCTTAAGGATGGTAAGAAATTTTTCATTTTCTGCTACATAAACTGCAAGTGCTGCTATTTATAATATTTTTAATCTTTATGATACAGAATTAAAATCTTCATAATGGCGACGTTATGTATGCGTCGGTCCTCCAATCAATCATCACTAAATAAACCAGTAAATTAGCCAAATTTGAATTGAGGCGCACCTCGTTAAACGTTCAGACTTGTCTCAAAATGTCATGCATTGCACATATCTCATGGGTTACAACACATAGATAAAAGGAAAATAAGAATACTCAGGTTAATCTACCATTACCCCATGTAGCTGTTTTTCATGTTTTTGCCATGTGTGTGGATTGACAGCACTTTAAGATGCTTACCCCGCTAGAATTTTTAATTATCCGCGCATCAACGTTTTGTTTCCTCTGAGAGATAAAATGGTCAAGGGGTGATTAAAAAAAATTAAAAACAGGATGTCGCAAACAGACGCGCAGGGCCGTTAACGTTGTAGAACATAGTTAACTAAGGGCAGAAATGGGTTATCGTCAGGAGCCCATTATCCGGAGCTTCCATCTTCCATACTGACCCTCTGAGTCAACCCAGTTCCGTATCTTTTTATTTTTAGAAGCACCTCCTACGGGTTTTTCGCGGGTGCCTACATAATAGCCAATCATAAGAGAGCTGTGGTCCTCTATTGTTTACGTCACGTGCAAGCCGCACGAAAGAACTATTTATTTCAATAATGGCGAAAAGCGCGGAAAGTCTACCATTTTTTTTTTTAGGGTGTTATGCGAACGCCAGCGTATTTTCGCGGGAAATTAAAGAACCCCCACGTAACTCTGTTCAAAAAATAAAAAGATACGGGACAGGGTTGACTCAAGGGTACAATTGGTAGGGATGGTTATCTTGGTGAAACAATGTTAACTAGGACATATCGTAAGCCATACACGAAGCCTATAACATGTTGTGTTCCTATCCAGTCTGCTCTCGGTCTGATTGAAAATGGTGGATCTATAGAGTTAATGTGGGTCGAAAAAGAATCCAAACGTGTCCATGTTTTTGTTGCTATTTTACACGTTAATGGCACCAGACGATTCGTCCATGTAGTTATTGAAACATGGATGCCATTTTAGATTGCGTTGATGAAATAGCATTGGATGGTCTGGACGGTAAGTATTTCAGCTTAACTTCGTAATTCAGCTCAGATGCGATGAAAATCCTCCACATGATTCTGGGGTAGCACTGAAAGTACTTTTGGTTATCCTGCCGAGAGAGTTCCTCCATTTGGCGGTAAATTTTATACTGACCCTACATGTTTTATTTCGTTTAGCGTTTGCCTCGATGTATCTTTCTCGCCCTTATGCAATGTGTAGAGGACAGGTGATTAACGTCAATCAATTTCTGTGCACGGGTTAATTGTTCAACCGAAAAACAAGTTGTTTCCTACGTTACCTTTTGGAAAGATAGTGGTTACCATTCCATATGTAGCATGCTTATGTCTAGGAGAGGTCAGCACAAAGAAAGGTGCAAAGACAAGAAAGTTCCTTATTAGTGAATTATGTTCTTACAGGTTGTCCTATACAGGAGCTGTGGAAGCACCTAGAAAAAAGAAGACCATCATTTCCTTTACCACTTGATGAAAATACAAAGCAGTTCTTATGGAAGGGAATCACAAAATTCCACGATGTTGACTTTTTTGCCCTTCCAGAGCCTTTTCCTCACATATTTGGCAATAGTCATGAAGAGGGGAGTGAAGATAAGGATGCAAACCCTGAGCAAAAGAGCTCTCTTGATCAGGTATCAAAATATATAAAATTCTGCATTGTTTCACGTCATGGTATATATCTGCAGCAGCACAGCTGGGCAGGAATCGTGTTTGTTTTCACTTTTTTGATCAGTGAATAAATATTAATGAAAAAGATGTCTTTGCAGTACATTTCACCTGCAGTAGTCAGCACTGATTAGAAGCAAAAGCAAGTAAAAAGATTTTATTTGTCATTCCTCATGTAAGGCTGCAGTTGCTCAATAGGACTGTGTTGCCAGACTGAATCTTAGCCCTATAACTTCCATGAGTGACCAAGAAAGAATTTTTCCTTCTGGTAACAATAAAATATTGAGCAGAAAGTGATGAGAATAAAGAAAAATATCAACAAGCAGATTATTAGTTGGTCAATTAGCAACTTCTCCAAGGTAACTTTACAAGAATTGTTAGACAGACAGTAAGGAGAATTACTAATGAGATCTTGGGAGTGAAAAGATTATGATCTTAATTGCACTAATTACTTTTATCTAGTTACCTTAGTTATGTGACCATGAATATCTTTTCAGTTTCCAGGGCCACTTAGATACAGTTGTGAGTTTAAGCTCATTTCGGACCAAGAAAGTGGAATAAGAGGTTCCTGTCCAAGTTATCATGTGCGCAAGAATATATCAGAGGAGATAAGAGGTTCTTTGAATAGAGATTGTTTAGACTTAAAGACTGCTTACGAAAGGTATGTCATTACTGTTGGTGGATTTTGCCAAAAAATTCATAAAATGCTATTTGAAATTCTCTGTTTGAATTTAGGCAATGATTAATTTTACAAAAAGAATGGACCTGAAAAGCTTTTTGATCTTTACTATAGAGTAAAATAAAACTATTCTTAAATACTGAAAGCACTCCCTGCATACTGATAAGTTACTGTAACACTGTAATTAAAATCCATTTACCAGTTGCCATGTTCTATTAAAATTTTATTTACAAGAGAAAGGGTATTTGAACTTTACTCATTTTCTATAACAAACTTGCTTTACTATAAAATTTTTGTAATGTCTCAACAAAAACACATGAAATCATCCTGTTTATTTCTTTCACAAAGAAGCTGTGGCTCAAGCTGTTTGGGTGGATTTCGATCATTTCTGGAAAGATTAGAAATGCTGGTGGGATGAAACTCAGTGTGATTGTGTGGATATTTTTATTTTTAATGTTTGCAGGTGGGGAGACTGTCTTGTTATGGTTGCCTCTCAGGAAGTGAGGGAAAAAGCCATCCTTGGATTGGATTGTGATCCAAATGTTCCACTGTCAGACATACAGTACTGTTTGTTGGAGCATGTTGGACAAGCAAGATATAATGGACGCATGCAGAAATACATCAGCTCTAATTTCTTTAAGGTTGAATCAAGGACAACATTTCATCATCTGAAAATTTTGCGCAAAGCTCATTTAGTAACTATGCAGGTAAAGTATAGTACACAGGCATACAGTCTCAGTAGTCAATTTTTTATAACAATGGCTGTACATATTATACATATTTGTGATAGATCAGTAGACAACCTCTAGGCCAACTGTGATTGGAAAAGGTTTTGAAATTGATATAAGACTTAAAGTGGGGTTTCCCTTCTCAAATAAAAATTGATGTAATTCTTGTAATTTTTCCACTGCATGTTTTATGCCATTTTATCATATTTGGTTAGTGAAACATGCCATTTATGCTTCTCTTTAACACTGTAAAACAAGGCAAAAATACCAACAGAAAATGGCCATATTGGACAATCCTAGTTATTAGTTACTAATAAATCCACCTTTCTAAAGGTTAAGCATGAAGCAGAGCCCTAGTCAATCATATGGTTTGGAAGTAAATAAAGTTTGGGAGTGCAATATTGTTGACATCACCTTTTCTCACCCCTTATCTGTGTTTTATCAATCTTGTGTTGGGGTTCTAAACAGTCTCTTGGGTGTAGTAGACTGATGAAACACCTGTCTAGACAATCAACTGTCATTCCTCATACTGAAATCTATCTTTTTGATAGGTATTACTGATTCATTAATGAAAGCAACTTATATTTTTTTATTGTAAATTGTTGAGCTTGCAATCTTAATCTTAATTTTTCTAGAATGTTGTTGTTAGTACAACTGATCCTGTGAAGAATGTGAGTAATGCCATTACCAATGTGGTGAGATTAAAAAGATTCCATGTACAAGAGCACCACAAGTATGATGTGCTGGCATCTAGACTGTGCAAGCTGTTATTAGATTCACCAAATCAGGAATTGCCGTTGATTGAGATTCAAGAACATTTTGTAAGTAAAATTGTTTTTTATTCTGGAAGATAGTATGTTACTGTAAAAAACAGTTGAAAGGAAATAGCCACTTGTTCATGGATTCTAAGCATCCTAAGTCTCTGCAATGGTCTTGAGTGATTCAAGGTAAATCAGGCTGTGAATGTCACTGGGATGAGGGAAAGATGTTACAGTGTCATTCTTCAGTTGTTAGCAATCAACTATTGCCAGGCTCCATTTATATTGGAGTTAATCTCTGGAGAATTTGGAACACTTCTAGTTCTTCTTGACTGTTTAGTGGAACACCCAACAGGCATCAGGCATGTGTAATTTGTTGGAACTGTAGGCACTTCCAGTGTATGACTAGTTATATAAATGCAGTAGAAAAATTTCATGTGTCCTGTGTTGTGCACGCAAATACATGTGCAGCTGTACTTTGATTCATCTTTTGTCATTCACTGCATATATATGTCAGTATTCTTTCACACAAAGACAATCACTGAGGGAAATTTGGTACTATACTTGTCTTTATAATTCTTAAATGCATTCTTGGAAGGAAAAATGTAAAGTCACTGTAGAATATTCAAAATTTATTTGTTTAAAAAATTGGCCTTTGGTTGATTTGTATTGGTGGATTTCTTTAAAATAATTCAAAATGTTAGTTTTCATGAGCAATGTGAAGGTCTTACTGAACAGCTTCTAAGCACTCTAGCAATGTAGTATAATATCCCCAAGTGCAGGGAAGGAGTTGAAATAGTCCTCTGAGGAAAAATCAAGGAAGTAATGTCACCATTATTGTGTGACAAAGTTATTTGATGATGACCTGGAATGAAGAAAGTGTGTTATTTACCAGTAAGTTTTCCTTTTGTCCTCCATCAATAGACTGAATTAAGGAAAAAGGGCCTGAGGAAAGTACGGCAGTTTTTAGTACAGGCAGGATATGCTGTGGAAGAAAAAATTGGAGCATCTCCTGATGGAGCAGATGGCAATGACTGCAGTCCACCAAAAAAGAGGAAAAGGAAAAATGAAAAATCATCTGCAATCCCTAATGTTCACACAACAAAAATGCGACTTCTCAAACCTTTTATTTTGAAAACCAGTAACATTCAGAAGCCAGATGGTGGGGAAAATGATGAAGATGATGATGATGATGAAAATGATGATGATGATGATGATGGTGATAATGATGATGAGGAACAGAATGTTGAAGGAGATGACTCTTTGCAAAGTGATGGTATGATAAGGAAGAACTGGTGTATAATAAGCAATAATTTGTATTAAATTTTTCCATGATAGCACGAATTATAAAAACCAAGGCCTAAAAAAACTGAGGCCTGAGAAGTGGAAGACTGTTGCAGGTAACACAGACACGAGGTTTGTTATACATTTTCTAAACAATCTGCAAAAGAAGACACTTTTTGTGAATTTTTTTTTGTTCAGTGTCATACTCAGCATAATCATTGTCATTTTGTAAGGCCCCTAATTTCTGAAGTGGGGGTGGGGGTGGGGGTGAGATGGGGTGTTGATTCATTTTGCTCAGAAGTTCCATCAATACTAACTGCAACATGTTGCAATATACATGGTATTTAAATGAACACAGACCAGCTTTGTATTTCCTACTTCTGAGAAATAATTTTATTTTGTTTTCCTTTTCTTCTAGATTATGAGTCAAATATTATTGCTGAGAGACCTTTGATAACTCAGGTTTACAAGATTATTGAACAGGCAGGACCACATGGATTGACTCTGTCAGTAAGTCAGGGTTGGAGAACTTTAAATCAGTTTTAATACTGTAATACAGACAGACCTGGATTATCCAGACTCTTGGAGACTGGGCTTAATAGTCTGGTTGAGAGTCTCATTGAGAGTCCGCATTACAATGTACATGTACCTGTATGTGTGGGGTTGTTTCATGGTGTGCAGTAAATTTTACAGTTGATGTTTGCAAATATATAGAATGAAATTAAATTCAATGCTCACTTGGATATACTTAGAGTACGTAGAGTAAATATATCTATATAAAATACATATGTAAACTCATAGACAGTTACAGTATATTCCTTATATTCCAATAATGCTTTACTTCTTTTCAGCAATATCGTAGAGCTTGCAAGCTTCCCTTTGCTGATGTCAGAGCTTTTGTTAAGAATTTAAAGAAAAAGAATTTAGTCCATGAGGTTCATCAAGCTGTAAAAAAGCAAACAGTTGCCTGGTAAATATCTGGTATTAACTATTTATTGCAAATTCAAAATTGAATTGCTTTATGCTAACAAATTGGTAAAAATTTATGTTCAATTAATAGGAAGGTTTTTCCAATGCTGTGAAGATTTTATCAGGTCACTTAGAATTCTTACCTCTTGTGACTAGGTTTGTGGCAGCTCCATTTATGGACAGGAATGTACAAGCAGTAAAAGTGAAACAGATCAGGGATGAGCTAAAAAAAATGGAGACTAAAGCAGCAGATGTGAGCATCACAGAAGGTAATTCATGCAGTGGTCCTTCTTTCAGGGATCTACATGTAGTTACAATAAACATTAAATAATCTTGGACTATAGAGGCAGTTTGTGCAACATCACTCTTGTGCAAATGCTTCTCTCTTCTAAAATATGTTGTCTGCAATGTATAGTGTACATGTGTGTCATAAAATGGTTTATACTATCTATTGTGGTGCCTTAACATAGAATGATGTAGAATGAGAAAAATGGGAGCAATTATCTTGTTTAATTAACAAACTTTTGAGTTTAAACAATCATAAATAATTATTATATTTTTGATTTACTTATTTACTTCTTAATAACAATATTATAAAATATCATAAGTGTGAAGTATTCCTGTCATAATATTGTGTACACTGGTCTACCAGGTATTCTTTATTTGTTGACCTCAATGGTTGACTTCCTGATGTTGCTTCCTAATCAATGCTTTGGAAATCCAATTTATTTATAAACATTAATTTTTGTTTAAATATGCCTTTATTTCAGGTATTGACCTGAGTAAAAAAATGCCAAAACCAAGGCTTAGTGGAGTTGGTGTGGGTATGTTGAGAATTATTTGGTGACTCTCTTTATTCACATGATGCAAACAAAATTCCTTGAAGGCTTAATTCTGGACTGATACTCACTTGCAGTTTATTCTTTAGATGAAATGCATGTCTCCATAAACGTGATATTTTTTCCAATCTGATTTTGGTAATTGAAATAAACTCATTTGAAATCAAGTCAGCCAGGAAGATACAAAATAACTTGTATTATACTAAAGCCAGGATTCATTTTGAAGCAGCTGTGTTCACTTTTTAGTAATTTTCATGACTTATAGTTGGTAATATGAGTGGGTATAGTAAAAAAGGTTGGAAGTTTCATGCAACACAGCTTCTGGCATCTCTGGTGCAGTTTTTTGTTGCACTTTCTCAATTGTTGAATTTATTTTTTTTTAGTGGAGAGAGTCACTTATAGAAAACTGAAGAGAAGAGCTGTGATATTGGAATACTTGGAAAAGATGAAAGTGGTTGAAGGATCTTATCCAATTCAAAAGGTAACATTTGGTTGTAATACTTTTTAATATTATTCTGTTGGTGAAATTACACTTGGAGTAATCTATTTATATAATTCAGCTTAGAGTACTTTGTCTTAAAGGTAGTTTGTGCATAATTGTAATTGTCAGACCTGTACCTAAGTGTGAGCAGCCTAGCAGCTCACTTGACCATGGTTCATGTCACAAATACATAATTGCTTGATAGGAAAAAATAAACCATTTGCAAAACCCCATCTTTTCTTTTTTCCTCTGAGGACTTTTTAGTGCCTGTTACATTTGAACCATTTTTAATCCTTTAAGTGATAAACGTGTAACTTCTCCTTGTTATTCCCGTATGTTATCTTGCAAACAGGTTATAAGAAATAAACTTAAAAGCCAATCAGTTCGAGGGTATTATTTTGATGTAACACTATATTCTCCTGTCTAATTGTGATTGATTTTTATTTGGTAATAGTATTGTATAATCAGCAGCTTTCAAATGATTCATGTGGTGTGTTTGGATCATTTCGGAAATTTTGTCTAGCTACATGTTCATAAGCTCTTGGTTCTAGTTCAAGAACATGGACATTATTAATTCTATTAGCTCAGGTGATTTTAAAACATATAGTTCTATAAGAATGGAATTTTTAATGACTACACGAACCATTTTTTTTTTTCAAGGCTGTGATAACAAGTGAAGAAGAAGAAGGTCATCAAGGCCGAATTGATAGAAAGGTGCTTAACAGGTAAAAAGAATATAACCTCTTGTTAGTCTTGTATATTTTTGGCTGCATGTCAATCACCATAACAACCTGTTTGTACAGACACCCAGTTTATGGACTCTCATGTGTCATTTTCATCCTTTGGTTTATCTTAGGTTCAGTTGTACTATGGAAAAAGTGATTTGGTATTATCAACTGAGTTGATAACCTAAATTGGCCACCATTAACCCTTTACATTCTAAGAGTGACTTGCATTAAATTTCTACCCACAATGTCATTCCTGAATCACACTTTAAGGTCATGAGAATAAAGGTAATGATCACCTACAAAAGGCTTTTGATTGGTAAACAAATTCTCCTTGTCAGCACCCTTGGAAATGTATAAAGAACAGTACGGAGAATGTGCATACTGATTTTAGGGTGTAAAGGATTAAGAGTTACAAAGTTGATGTTTCAAGTGTCAGCTTCAAAACTCTTAATGGTAGCCAATTTACGTATCAACTTACTTACATCTAGGAATGCAAGACATGATGTTGTGGATTAGTTTGAGAAATGTTCAACTCTGTTTAGATGTCCAGTCTAACAATGCTTTTTTCTTGTACAGGATTCTTGATGACCTTCGTGCTCAAGGTTTGATCAAACAGCTCACAACTGTGGTGCAACATGGAACTCTCTCACAAACGGTAGATTAAAAATTGTACACTTAATTACTGCAAACAAGTGGTGTGTTATAATTACACATTCAAGGAAAAGAATACTTTCACTGATAGTGAATTCAACTTGAAATTTTAGCCTTATGTTTACATGTACAGGAATGTTCAAATTTGATTTATTTCGTGGCTTTTAAGGATTTTATTGAGACTTTACAGATTAAAGTTCTAATTGAGATTTTTTAAAGCCATGACAATTTTATGTGAGGTGGCTTTGGCCTACAAAGTTTCCTTCTACTAAGTTTTGTCCAGTGCAGAGAAAACTTAGGGATACAATATTTTGTTCATACTTAAAAAAATTTAATGTAAATCAAAGTGAATATTTCATTTTTCATGGTATGAGCTGAAAATCCTCTGTCAAAAATAGGTGGCTGGTTTTTTCCTGTAAATCTGGTCAAGAATCATTTATTTGTTACTGTTCTTTAAGATTAGTGGTACAATGAAAACCAGTCTCAATTGCCACTTCATCTAAAACTTTTAAAGTTTCAACTACAGTGGAGTCAGTACAGGGTAATAGTTTCTTTTTAAGTGCCCTCCCTCGATTAGCCCCCCCTCCTTCCAATAACCCCTCCTTAAAACTGAAATTTTAAAGAAACACGAGGGGGAGGGTAATTTGAAGAGATATGGTATTTACTTGTATCTAGTACATGACAGTGTTATTTATGGGGTAGTTAGGTATTTCTCTATCAGTGTCATAACATGGATTATATATGTATGTTTCACAGGTGGACCTGTTCTTACATTCATCCATCAGCAGTAATGACTCTGAAGTTGCAGTTATGTTGGAACAGTGTCGTGTTAGACTTAGAGATCAGATGTTTAAAGATGCAGAGGTACAGTGCACCTGATCAGAATTAGCTCAGCCATAATTGCTAGACATGCAAGAAGTAAACAGTGGTGTGCTTCAGAAATTTTATTCTTGTTCCTATGAATCAACTATCAGTATGTAAACCAGAGTACTGATGTCATACTCTATATCTGAATTTGTTCATTTTGCATGTAAACCATTTTATAATACTGTAATTCGAATTCCAGTATTACAACACCTCTATGTTGACCTTTACCTTTAAAAAACCTTGCTGTATGCAATAATTCATGCTCACTTGCCTTTTTTGCTTACTGTGTTCTCTTAAAAAGAAACAATTGAAGGTACAAACAAGCAAAGTTAAAAAAACTTTGTAAAACGGCGAGCTGTTACTATGAGCTAAAGCCACTTTGATCATAAACTCAAAGAGCAGTTTGAATGATTAAGCCTTGCGGGGCCCTGTCTGAATATGAAGCATTATTATGAATAGAAGTACATGTATGTAAGGAAGCTTCTTGAAAAGGCCATTTTTCTCTTAAGGAAGGTGAAGTTACCATTTGATGCTGTATAATACAGAAGAGAAACAACATTTAAACGTTTTAGTGAATAACATTCATAAATGTATTTCTGTTGTATTGATATCAATAGAGAGAGGAAAAAGCCAGGCAGATCGCAGAAGAAAAAGAAAGAAAAAAACTTGAAAAAGCAGCATCTGTTGAAGAAGAAAAGCAGAGGAAGAAAATTGAAAAGAAAGAAAAAGATGCACTGAAGAAAGCACAACAGCTTCATGAAAAGAGTGACTCAAAGGAAGACAGTACACCAACAAAACCTCAATTCACGGTACAGTCTGAAATTATCTCATGGGGGTGCTGTAATTGAGCCGTGTTCAATTTAGCGTTGAAAGTAATTCACGATTGCTTCGGTTTTGGTCACCTTCGCTCTGTGATTGGCCCGGACGACTCGTGCCAAATTTTCAACCAATTAGATTCAATCACATTCAAAACTGAATTCAATCACGATCTCTACACATGCGTTTTCCCGCGTTCAATCAGTTTGGCGTTTTTACTTGGAGTCCTCATTGGCTGATGGTGATATCATCATTTGTTCCGATTGGCTCTCGTGATTACTTAGCTTTTGACTTTGAAATTCAAGTGAAAGCTGCCTTATTTAGAAATTTGAACTTTCATTGTGTAAAGTCAAGTACTTTTTTTTAAATTTACAATAACGTTATTTTTATTAACTAACTCGCTCCTTAAACTAAAATGAAAAGCTGTGCTCAAAACTGACTGTATTTCTACAGTCACTCTGCATAATTGTATAGAATGATCAAGTTGTAAAAATTATAGTTTGGTATGCAATCTAAACCCAAAGGTTGGATGCCATAGCTCACGCACAATGCTCTAGATCGCGTGGCAGCAATTTCTGGGAATGTGCATCAGTCCTTTTTTCCTCTGAAGGGCTAATGCTCTAAACATCAGCTTTAGAAACTGTTCATGGTGGCCTATTTACACGATCAACTCTGTTGATAAACCAAATTATCTTGTATTACCATCGCCGACGCAGCACCACAGTTTCTTTAGAAACTTACCCCTTTGAAAATAGTTTAGTCATGTAAATCAAAGGGGCTTCTGGCCTAACTGGCACTTATTTCCTTGTACTCATACCTCGCCTTGATATTTTTCCTTTCAGCATTCAACTCAAAAGTATGGCCATTTGCCTAGATTTCCAAGACTACAGTTGATTCATGAATTATTATGGCAGCTTGTTTATGGTGAAGTTTCATCAGACACAAGTGATGTGGATGAGCCTGGAGCCAGTGACACTCAAGAAGAAGCGTTATTTGAGAGTGACGATCCAGCAGCAACAGAGAATGAGGATTATGAGTGGATTAAACACTTAAAACCAATGAATAAAGTGTGTGATGAGGCAGGAGAGCCACTTCAAGGCTGGTTTCGTTTGGCTGATGTGATGCCAGTGATGCCTTTAAACATACTTTGCAAAACAGTTGATATAACTGAGGAGGTATCATTGTTCTTTGCTCATATTTAATTTGTTATTGTAGATGTTTTTTTTTAACGAGTTAATTGCCGGGTCATTTGCAAGGCTAATCAAATCAGTCATCTTCTTTTGCTATTCTTATTGATAAATACGCCGCAGAATTCCGGCGGACGTAGATCACGTAGCCCTACTCGATGGAAACTAGTTACGTAATGTCATGCTATGTTTCCATGTGCAATATCTCCGAATTTAATGATCTGCTGCTTAGATTTAGGGCATTTCAAAAGAGATATCCAAACCGGAAAGTTTCAGCGAAGTTATTCGTAGCTAGCACTTTCGCACCTAGCTGCTCATTGCCTCGGCCACAATCTTTTTACATAACTTAACCACGCCAGACAATAAGCGGCGTAAGTAATGAATGAAGATGCTTTACTATTAATTTATGCAAATCCCTTGCAGTTCTGGATTATCCCCAGTTCACTCTTACATTGAGGTCTAATGAGCGTTCATCAGAGAAACTTTTCGTTAATTTAAAAGATTAACGTTTCTTTTTGGTCTTAGGTGGAAGGTTTTGATGAATATGCTTTTGATCCAGTGAAAAAGTACACACTTTTCTGTGATCTTCCTCAGCAATTAAGGATCAAACTTAAGGAAACTCGGTAAGAATCCAGCTATACTTTTGCTTTTGCACATCGAATATACCTTTGCTGAGCCATATTTTTTCTAGAAGTAGTGTGTATAGGGTCAATCTTAAACCTTCCTACTTTGTAACTACCATAATGTTGTACTTTATTTTAGAATGATGGTTACAGGACTGGTTGGAGTCCAGTTCGATCTGTAATCATACGAGAGATTTACAAAATCGGACGACCGCGAAGCAGGAGTCCGATTTTGTAATCACATGTATGTTTACAAACAGAATTGGATGACACAACGTCCTGTTACCAATTAATCAAATCAATTACAAGGGGTTTATTTACTAAACACAGATCAATTGCAAGCATGGCGCCTACGATGTTGTATTACAGTTGTGGTGCTTAAATCAGGCTTGTGATAACCCGTCATATTCACAATTTTGTGGTATTTTTGATCTTGTGGGAATTCCCTCGATATCTCTGTCAGGACCAAACCTAAATTGTCTTTGTATGACTAAGATTGAATTAAGTGCAGCTATCAGAAACCCAAGCAAAAAAATCTCAGGCATTTATTGATTCGTGGCAGTAATTAGCTGCTTCTCTCAAAAAACAGAGAGGAGTGTATGTTGTCGCAACGAAAGAGGTGTTCCATTTGTCCATACATTGTAGAAATGTTGTAGGAGTAATTATAGCACACTCATGATTGATTTGAATTTTAGGCGATACCATCCAGCACCACTTGAGCTTCTCTTGTGCCTGTGTCAAATGGGTTTAGTCACTCCAGCTAAACCATTCCCTCACAGTTTTAACCATGTAAGTGTCATTGCTAGAACACGTGTAGTTGCGTGTGTGGGTTTACCATCAACATTGAAAAGTTTGTAAGGTTTGAAGATGAATGATGTTGAAGATTTCCAGCTTTGCTAAGCGAAGTGAATATTGTTGAATAATCCTCGAGACAAAGTCGAGGGGCCGGGTTATTCAACAAAATGTACTGAGCCTCAGGCGAGTAATTGTTTTAGTATAATTGCTCAGGTTCTTTAGAATTATGTTGTAGATTCTGTAACTAAAGAAAGCATAGTGGATATTTTGTTAAAATTGTGTCGAGCAGATAAGCAAGCTGTTTTAACAGGTTTATTTGATTCAATCAGCAAAAACTATACACCTTACTTTTGAAGAGTGTTTCATCAAGCTCAGTAGCATCTTTTGTTGTCCTCGCAATTGAATATTCTTCTGTTGCGTTTATCACTTTCTTGCGTTTATCACTTTCTTGCGTCACTGTTTTGACAAAGCGTGTGGCAGCCATTTTGAAACTTTGCGACCCTGCTATAATTACCTCGCGCGAGGTGATTATAGCGAGATCGACGATAATCGTTTGTATTACTTTTGCACAGTACTTTATGTAAAGACATTTCCTGGAAGTAGCTTTTATTCGCATTGAATTGGCTTCTTTTTTAACTTGTTTTCCCATCCAGATAAGAATGTTTTTGCACAAGGGCACAAGACTATTGGATACCACAACATCTCTAAAGAACTACAGGACTGCGCTTCCTCCAGCAGGCAAACCGTTTGTATCACGTCGTCACATGTTCTCGAACACTGTGGCTGTCAAAAATTTCTGGACTGACTTGAAATGTGTTTGTCTCAACACACCCTTAGGTAAGTTTGACATACTTCAAAGGAGTTTACCATTAATTCCTTGACTTACTGAATTAAATTTATCATATTCAATGTAATTATCTTCAAACAAAACCATGACCACTTTATTCTTTCCTTCAATGTTTGTTAATTCCGGTCTGTAATTCACATTCTTTTAGTAGCTATTATTACCAGTCCTTCTGGAATAATTGTTGTTTTTTGGCTTTCTGGATGCCCAGGTTAACACTTCAAGTTTATTGGCAGTGGCACTCCGCCTTAATTAGTCAAAAAGTAAACTTAGAATTTATTTCAACACTTAACAACTCTGTGTCTTTAGACCTGTAAAATAGTCACAGTACCTATTTGATATCCTCCACAAAACGTACTTTAGAGTAGCAAGTGGACAATTAAAAGGATAAGTATTTCACATCCCTAATGCCATTTTCTTCGTTCACACTCCAAATTTCAATTCCAATTCCACCTGAAAACAGTGGATAAGAAGGGCGATGTAGTGCAATGTCCATCGCTAAATTCCTATTTATTTTATTTATCTACATGCTGAGTAATCGGCCAGGCAAGGATAAAGAATGGAAAGGATGATTTCTCATACTAATTCGCCCAAATTGAATTGTAAAGTTTCCATACTCTCTAAAATCCCTGGGATACAATTTATATGTGCAATACTTAACAAATAGATTCTGTGACCGTGCACCTGTTCATCCGCAGATCTAAGATGATCTCAAAATGTGGTAAGAACAAACAGGGGGACCCGACGTTCAGTCGAGTTTGTCACTTATGTTCTCACCACGGGTTGATCTCTTCTGTGATCTGCTACTGTGTGCGACAACAGAGACAATATTTTTTTTGATTACAAAGCAAACATTTGGTATTGGTGACGTCATCTATGCGTCTATTCTCCAATAGATCATAAGTAAGAACCAATCAAACTGCGTGCGTATTTTAGCTTATCATATAAACAGTAATTGTCGCTAGTTACAACATTAAACAGTTCATGTCTCAATATCTCAGGTGTAGTGAAGGTCGATGAAGGAGCTCCTGACCAAAGTATGTCTTCTATGAAGAACAAAAGACTTTTCCACTTCGCTCAAGAAGAAGTAGATGAAGACAAAGTGGATCTTCCCCCCGGAGATCAGCTGGGTGCTGCTGGTCTGGACAGGTGTTTTTTCAGTCATTTGAAGAGGAACTGGACACGAGTAATGACAGCGTCAACACGGTTAGAAAGTCATTTATACCTCTCTTGCAATAAGTAATTACACATTTAGAATCGGTTGTTGAAACGATTTGGGTCGCAGTTTTTGACGAGCAATGGACGTATAAAGTTCCTCTTCGGTGGGTTTTTTTAAATAATTGGATCTTTCTTTTAGTTTTAAATAAAAGACATTTTGACAGTTTTGCAAGAACTTAACGTTAAGGTAACTTTTTTTGCTTGACTCGGCCTTACATCCGAGCGGATTTAGTAAGATTTTTAACCATTTCGCTGGGTTCAAATAGAGAAGGAAGATTTCAATTCAACAAACTTTGGAATTTAGCGAGCCGTACAGTGAAATACCGTCCGTTAAATATAGACTACGAGTAGTCTCTCCTTCTCAGTGAAGTCTATCGTGTGATTGAAAAGAAATCAGTAAAACCTAATTATCTTATACTCCATTCACACAAAAAGAAGGGAAAATGTTTAGAGAAAAAGATGTTTGAGACAAAAAGTAAAATATTACGTATTTTAGGATATCGATTGTGGGGGGAAAATCTTGAAAGCTAGGATGATAGAAAAATTAAGTATTGTTCAAAATTCCTCAAATTAGGTATAAGGTATAATAATAGATGTTAAAGTGTATTTAACGCTCACCATTTTCACTTCCGTACTTATTTACAGGAAAATACCAAAAGCATCAGCTAGTGCAGCAAGTGATGAGAGTGTTCAGAACACTGATGGTGCTGGTAACCAAGGAGGAAAAACTTTCTGGAGCATCGGAAAACCTGAAATGAAACAGCAAGCACATAAAGAAAAGATTAAGCAACAGAAAAAGAAGCGTAAAAGGAAAACAGATGGTAAATATTAAACATTATATTTAAAGATCTTCTGCTCAGGGAATCCTAAATTGATCGTCAGTTTGTTGAATTTGTCCTCTAAAGCTAACCTAAAGCTTTCCTTATAGCATGGCAGTAGTGTCATTCCCAACTAACCCTTTACACACTAACTTCAGTATGCATATTCTCCATACTGTTCTCTGTACATATCCTAAGGTACTGACAAGGAGAATTTGTTTAACAATCAAGAGCTTCTTAAGTTGGTGATCATTTTCTTTTATTCTGGTGACCTTTGTGTTTGATTTAGGGGTGACATTGTAAGGAGAAATTAGATGTCAGTCGTTCTTGGGGGTTAAAGGTTTGATTAGTCAGTTAGTCACCATGCGGTTTTTTGTGCTTCTCACCACAGATATACAAGAGGGTGAGAAAGAACTTGCCAGTGCGAAGAAAATAAGAACTGTTAACTCCGCTGAAAAGAAACCAGCTGGAAATGCTCGAGAGAAGACGAAAAAAAAAGAAGAACATTCCTGTAAAACTGGCCATCTAAGTATGTTGACTGAGAACTACTGATCACAGCGTTAATGCCACTCGTGGTTTCTTTTCTCTATATTTTTCTCATTCATTTTGAGGTGGTACTTGCAGTCTGTGGTTTCACAGGTGTGGTTTATTCACGATGTGCACAGGCTTCTCTCTAAATCGCAACTGGAACACCAAAACAAAACAAAGACTTAAAATTCATTTTTCGCATTATTTTTCTTTTCTTTTTTTTCGCCACTGAATAAATGAAATATCAATACTGACCAAAAGTCTGGATTAAGGCAATTACATTATGCGATTTTAAAACGAATGTTATGCAACTAAACTTTGTATTATGCAAAATGGTCTGAAATCATATTTTTGTGGTTTCAAACCAAATAGCTCGCCACTCAGTTGAATTACCACTATAAATTTGCTTGAAACTTATCATAGCAAGGCAGATTACGATGCCTACATCGCTGTTAGGCATCGGCGGTGTCTGCATCACCAGTTAATGTGGCCATAAAGTGTCTACTCAAATACAAATGTTTGTGAACAGTTTTTATCCTACTCTGCCATCACAGATGCGATCGATGACGAAGACAGGAACATTTTGGCCAAGAAAGTAAACGAAAGAATCTCATTTTCCCATGAGGAGGACAGCTGGGTACAGTTAATGTTCTTTCAGCGATTTTTCTCCTTTTAACACTATGTGTGGTTTTTAAGAACAACAATCCTGTTTCAAATGTTTGCATTTATCTACTTGTTTTGTTGTGTGTAGCTACTACTGTTCCGAGTTGCGCTTGGAATGATGAAGAGTGAAACATCACGGTACAATCCTTTTGTTTGTATGAGGAACATCTTGCACAAAGAATGTGCGGTTAGTATGCCTCTGTTATGTATAAAATGGTTATTTTGTTGGTGACATTTCTCATTAGCAAACTGCAGGGATTTTGTTTGATTAGGGTCACTAATTTCAAAGGCAAATTGGAAAAAGAAAAATTGAATGTCAGTTGAAAAGTTAACCTCCTTGCGTGTAAATGAACTGTTTTTGTGTCTTAAGTTTTTGCTGATTTAAAACTTTGGGAGGCCGTAAGTAACAGTATATTAGAAACTGTTCCAAGGGCATAATGCTCATCCTCTTTTTACAGTCAAGCTTTGACAAGACGGCCCCCAATATTCAGCGCAGAATTTTAAAACTGATGAAAAGTCCTCAGTCACAGATGACTGTAAAGATATGTTCAGCGGAGTGTGCACATGATGAGGTTAGTATCCTAAGGCTTATCTTAAAGTAGGGAGAGGCAGGGTTTAGGTAGTGCACAGGCAAAGGGAGAAGTTCTACAAGACTGCAACTTCAGTACTCCCCAACGCATGTTGATATTTCTTAGTCAGAGGTAGATACAAACACAAACCAGGGGGGGGTGGGGGCGGGGTCAATGATGTAAGAGCTCGTGTACAATAGGCTGTGAGCTGTTTTGATAAACTTAATTAGCCATGCGTGCTGCTATTTCAGCTTTGTGTTCTACCTACTTCAAAGGATAACGTAGCAAGTGCACTGGATCTCGCTAAAGCAAAGGGAGATTAGAAATATCTCATTTTAATTCGAATTTGGAGTAATTAAATTTGATATCGTCTGATTTCAGTGTTTATTCTGAGATTGTTTAGAGGTATGTTTGAAAAGGTAGATAGGTACAATGGCGGACGAGTAGGAACGTCCGGTTGTTATGAGATGAGTTGATAGATACAACTTCAGTAGGTCAGGTGAATGCAGGAGACTTTTAGATTAGATGGATAGTTACTTTGACTGATTTTCTCTGAGTGCATAGGCTTTAATTACAAACATTATTTACCTGTACTTATCAATCAATTATCTTCCCCTTAACTGCAGTCTTTCAAAGGACTTGAAGATTCAAATGCTGATTTTGAGGAAATGTTTCAAGAAATTGTAAAGAGATTAAGGCACAAGTTCAGGTATAAGAGAAACCCGAAATACGCGCATCCTAATCGTGGTTCCAACCACTTGATGTTAGCCAAACATGAAACCAGCCGTTTGCTTTTTGTGCAATCTTGTTAATCCGACTATTCCACCATAAAAACCAATGAGTGGTATATTTTTAGCTCAGTGGAATGACTAAGAATTCTAACCTTTGGTCGTTTTTCGCAAAGAGATACGACACAGGTTTTCATCTTAAGAAAACTAAGCTCGAGTTTCATAAGTTCGCTAGTTGCTTTCAGTTTGAATCGTTTCCATACTTAGTTATCCTTATTCCTGTTTGGTTTATTACAACCTTTTTTGTGATTTAGTCTCCTTCAAAAAACTGACTCAAAAGTCCTTAACGTAAATATTTCAGCTTAGGAGGATTACTGTAATTCTCCTCGCTGAACTATTCACAAAAGGCCATTTAATATTTTAGGATCTTTTACAGTATACCTTTCAAAAGTCTGCTGTCAGTACATAGGTCCACCATGTTACTGAGACTTTTGTTTTCCTGGTGTTATGATATTCGTGTAACTGTTGTATCACCGCATGTAAGACATACAAGATAACCGGATCAATATCAGTATCTGGGCAACTGCCCACCTATCCCTCCCCTAACCCAACATTAACCTTAAATTGTTGTCAATTGACTGTTGTTGAGTTGGGGGAGGGGTAGGTGAGCAGTTGCCCAGATACTGATATTGATCCAGATAACCAAACCTTTTTATTTTCAAGTTGTTTTACAATGACCATTTTGAGTAGCGGAAGAGATTAGTTAAAAACTGAGCATTGATTGAGAGGTGTTACTCATCTGAAAGACCGTAATTATATTGTCGGGAACCATGCTTTTCTACCCTCGTTATACTATGAAAGGTTTCAAATTTACAGCAAATGCGACTGTATTAGTTTATCGTATGGTTAGCCTTAGAAAGAGCAACTGCTCTTTTCTCTTGGACTCTCTTTACAAGTCAACAGGCAGATGATAAAGGTAAAATCCGTGTTATTGGTTCTTAGTTTTGCTTTTTTGCTTCCTTGTTAAAGCTCTTCCAGTTTAGTTTGTGATGGAAACGTTACGTTGGTTTCTTCTGTCAAAGAACTTTATGACAAGTACAGAGTACAGGTCATGGCCTCTAAGCAGGTCAGTATTAATCCAATGGGGACAAATGCACGTCAGTATTAGTCCAATGGTGATATATGCCCCAGATGATCACTGAGACATTTTGACTCGGTGCATATAACTTAACGTATTTAAATTCATTTGAATTTAAACTGTGATAGCATAGTCTATGTTGAGCGTTACGTTATAAGATACATCATGGAGCGGGAGCTAAGATACACTAAATGCCACGAGAAATGAGTGATAATGAAGATAAAGAAGTATATTACTCCTCCATTTATTCAAATGAATGGATTGAGGAGATCCCGAGGACAACCTCCCTTTGTAACACCATATGTAGTTAATCTGTATTCACCCTTTAATCCCTAAGAGTGACTAGCATCCGATTTCTCCTTACAATATCACCCCTGACTCAAACATGAAGGCGTCGAGAATAAAGGAAATGATCACCAACTAAAGAAGCTGTTTAGTCATTGCTGCATGGTGGCGCTGTTCACTGACTGAACCCTGCTCTTACTCCGCCGGCATTGTTTCAGTTTCAGACATTTTCTCCAGATGACAGTGTTTTGTTGCTCGGACCCAGTATCAGGTGTGTCAGTGATATAAACAAGGCGGCCATTAGAGATCAGATTCAGGTTAGTTTATAAACTTTAAAGTAGGTTCAACATTATATATTTAAATGAAGGCGACAAGAGCCACGTGGCTCGTAGCGCATAAACTAAGATTTTTCAAACACGAGAAGGGATGAAAGAGTGGTTTGCTCCGGTTAAGATACCAGCGGCGGATATTATTCTACTTTACAACACTCCCATTCATACTCAGTTGAATTAAGATGTGGGAATGATCCCGCATGTTCAAGGTCACGAGCTAAACGATGAGGGTAGGAGGTAGAGCCACTCTCCTCTAGCCTATGGGAAAATTGAGTGTGAATGGAATGGACGAGTTTTCCAGGTATTTATGTTAACCTGTTACGTAAGCGATGGGAGGAGTTCTCACCTAACTGTTATTGCGTAATTCAACTTTTCATATCATTATGAACATTGTGAATACCTTCCTGTACAGTTGAACGCACTGAAAGTAATGCCTTATGAAAGTCATTTAGACTAGTACATATCGTTTCTGATAATTTCCTATCTTTGATAAATGTTGATATTTGATAGTACTTTTTTCTGATCTTGTGTATTCACTCAAGAACAGTCTGGTCTTCTGAAAAGACAGTTAGTAAAGCCTGAAATTTACCACATACTTATTATGCTGAACTGATCATCTGTGTGCGTTCCTTTTGTAGATCGCCTTCACAACGCCTCAAGAATCATACGATGCCTACAGAGTTTTTCAGATGTTTAACTCATATTCAAGGGTAACTTAAATCAAATAGAAGGAACTTGGGTGTCTAGTATAATTTCAAAGCTCACAAGGCTGATTTCCCTAGGAGCGCAGCTCCCCCCTCCCTCCCAACTACCCAAATATCAACCGCCCCCACCCCACTTCAAAAACACGCGCTTTGTAGAGTGTACAGTCGACTTCCGTTATTGTGGATACCCTCGTGGGGAGATTTATTGTCCGTTAAAGCGAGAGTCTGCAATAGCGGGGTACGAGAGAAAAATAAATTGTTTTGCATCTAAACGTGTAAAATAATATGTAACTACGCAAACGTAAATTTTCTAACGTGGTCTCATGACTCGGAGAAAGATCCGGCCACAAGCAGGAAATTCTGACGTTCGCACCCAATTGTAGAACGGTTTCTTTATTTTCATTTATTTTAATGTCGCTTTATATTATGTGAGTCAGGATTTTGGAAAAGTAATGAAGTGGGGGGGGGGGGCAGGCATGAAAGTGCAGAATCTGTAATAACGAGTTTATTTCAGTCATTTCTTCATGCGTTTCGCCAGGGGTGGGAATATATGTAACGGCGTAATATGTGACTAACACAGGCTATAGACTGTGCGATTTTACGCCACTATCTGAGTCGGTATATTAATTATAATAAATTATTATATAATTAAATTGTGTTAACGGCGTTAAATCTTATATTATACATTACCGACTAGAAGAAATTGCGCCGTTAGTTACTGGCGTAAAATCTTACAGTATGTATACACTACCGACTGAATGAAATTACGCCGTTAGTTGCCAGTCGGTATTACATATATACTGAAAGATTTTACGCTTGTAACTAACGGCGTAGTTTCTTTTAGGCGGTAACTTATACATAAGGTGTCCGATATGGCAGAGCGAGAGTCGACTGTAGTTTTAGAGAAGATTCAAGGCCTGCTTATTCTGTGGACATAAAATCACTGGTCAAGAGCACGATTTCTTGCACTTGGAAGATTGCCTCACAAGACAGAAGCTATTGTTTTTATTATTTTAATTTGGTAGTTCACAGGAACCTTGTAATACTTAGACGGATCACCATCAAAGAATTGACTAACAAACTTATCGTCACTGATTCTAGGAAGAGCTTGAAGATGTGTTTAAAGAGATGCAGAAAAAGAATCTGGTCAATAGAAAGGTGACTAATCAATCAATCAATCAATCAGTTAGCACGTTAGTCAATCAGTCGGTAATTGACTTTTCTCATCATAACACGTTAGGCTTCTACCCTTTGGTACATATGACAGCCGCCGTTCTCGTTGATGTATCAACCAGATGACTCTAGTTCTACCAATATTGTTGTATAAGTTGACATCGTGGAATTCTGAATGTTAGTCGGTCCACTTCAACACAGACCTATTTGAGACGCAAGTAACTGCTGTAAATTAAGAGATCTTTTTGCTTTGTAGTTTTCACTCAGATTTATTGTGTTTATGACCAAGTTGAAAATGAAAAAAAAAAGAATATTTTTTCAGTTGATTAGCAGAAAAAGACCCCGCAAAAGGCAACTGAATCTTCTATCCTGTCACCTTTTGCGTCTCTAAAATACTTATTGCTAATCCGTTTTGCATAATGTTATACTTTTGTTTTATTAACATTTTACTCACTTGCCTTTTTCACAGAAATCGATTGAAAACCCTGGTTTTCAGTTCACTCGCGCGTTACCATTTGCTTCAATGACGTTTCAGCTTAGTTCTGTGTGAGTAAACTACTGTTATTTTAATCCGACTTTAAAGAATGCGTTTGACGGCACGGAAGTAAAGATTATGATACTAGATAATGAAGAGTGGTGACTACAGTAATAAGATATACAGCGTTTAATAATATCTACTTAATTACTGAGTGAGAGGGCTGGACGGGAAAATATTTGGCTCAAGTTCATGACGTATACGTAGAAACCTCCCGTAACTATGCACATTTGTCAACAATGAGCAAAATTTAATCATTTAGCATGTCTTCTGAAGAATATAAAATTCGCTGCGTCCAAATGGGATTCCAGTACAACTGCACTTCTCATTTAAGGGTGTGTGGTATTTCTCTGTGACCTCACACAAGCAAAATCATAGGAGTAATATTTCTTCTGTGAAAGAACTTTCTCACAATAGTTAAATCTACGCTTTCCAGCCCCTGCAAGAGACCTTGGCACGGCAAAATATGACCATATAGAAAGGACACTTTGTTGAACTGAAAATTTGTAAAGGAAACAAAGGAAAGTAAGGGTATTGTTAAAGAATATCACTAAAAATATTTTTTGATCTTCCTCTACAGGTATCATCGATTATTCATGCATGGCTTTAAACTTGTGACATTCTACAGAGACTGCGCTCGCTTTTGGAAACAGCTTGTGAAAGGAGAACAGCACAAATTAAATAAAGAAGAAGACAGTGACACCAGGCTGGAGCAAAAAGCAGCTTCTCTTACCCCTGGTTTAATAGAATTCAAGCAATCACGCGCACTCGGTGGACATGTCGCTTGCATCCTGTCTCTACTCACCACCGACAAGGTTTGAATGGATTATTTTTAGAAAAATATTTAACTATTAAGTGTTTAGATCGCACGTGATTGGTGTAAATCCGTCTCATATCTGAATGTAATCAAGCTAAAACTGACAAGTATTCATGTGATATTCCCCAAGAAATATTCCCTAATCTTGAGACCGTCATTCAGATATGACAGTCGTCTTAATATAAGTGATATAAATCTGAATCTCTGAGAAGATTGGAGTCATTCGAGACTCCGGTCGCATTCTCCATGTTAGAGTTGTTAGGTGATACTTATGTAGTGTAGGGACTCCCTTAGGGGTTTAATTAGCAGCCGGGAAGCGGGTAGATCTGTACCGTTTGTTATGCGCTAGCAACCTGTTTGTAGCCTTTACACAAATGTCATTGTACTACGAACATAAATGTAAATCTCTGTAAGTTCACTTAAATTGGTTGACTTTGAAGAAAAACAATGGAACGTGGAGAGGAATGCACCCTAAAATGTTGTAAAGAGTAGCTACAATAATCTAGAGCTTTAAAATTTTATAGGGGAGCCCAGGCACTCCAGGCCTTGAAAACTATCTGCCTGCCATGTCAACCACCCGTTTGTACCATATTTAATGAAACCACTGAGACAGAGCCTCCTATGTGTTAAGATAGGCCTTCAACAGCTTCTCTGCTTTTAACCGCCCTGAGTACACTTTAATTGGTGTATTTTTTTCTGTTTGTTTTGAAGTTTTCTTTTCTCTGCTCATGTTTGCAGTTATCTGTTGATGTGAGCATTCCTGAAGAGGTGTTGAACTGTGACTCGTCAGGGCTATCAGAGAACGTCGAGCTACAGTCAAGTCAAGCCACTGGTGGAAGTGGTGAACCAGTGTCTAAGGTACATGTTTTTTTACGTATGGCTGAAACTTCTTTTAACGCTTTAAATCTGTAACCCTCAAGAGTGATTAGCATCTAATTTCTCTTTACAGTATTACCCTTGAATCAAACAGGAAAGTCATGAGAATACAGGAAATGATCACCAACGAAAGCAGCTCTTGATTATTAAACAAATTCTCTTTTTCAGCACCTTGGGAAATGTATAGGGAATACAATGGAGAATATGTATACTGATGTTAGGGGGTAAAGGATTGATAAGGGCTTGGAAAGATCTTTTAAATTCCACAGCTTCCAGACCAAGGGATTAGTCAGTTTTGCACTAACTACACATTGACCACTCCCAACTCGGTGAAAAAAGTTGGTTGCTGTTTAGGGAGGAATTTATTTTTGTTCTGTCTCTTAAAGGACGACGCCTCATCAGAGAGAGGTAAGACAAGAACTTCAGCGAAGACAAGAACTCCTGGCAGTGCTGGAATAACAGAGAAGAATCAGCCGTCAACAGCCCAGGGTGCCATGCCAAGTAAGAGCAGTAATACGGTCGAGTCAGCCCCAGCTGTGAAGCAGTCAGCATCCTCTTCCAAAGCAAAATCCTCAGAGAAAATTTCAAAAGGAAAGCGGCTCAAAAAACGAGAAGTTTTTACCTTGAGGATATCATCATCATCAACTGCAACAAGTTTCACAACTCCATATGATCTGACAGCTGTGACGGACTCAAGCAACTACTTGACAAGTTACGCTGAGGAATGTGAGGGGCAATGTACCGAAAGACAGAGTAGTAAAGTATCCACTGTGCCGGTGGCATCTCTGTCCTTCAGCGGCACATCCCGCTCATCAAGAACTGCACTGATGTTGGCTCGGGGTGGGAAGGACCCATATGCATCCATGAATCAGCTCTCAGCTAGGGCTGTTAACACTCACGACTTCATGACTTTGAATCCATGCAAAAATGTGTTGAAATTGAAAGGAGACTCTTCGGCAAACGTAGCAGTTGATAGCGCTGCTGAAAACAGACCCAGTACCTCCGCGACCTCTTCTGACGAAGGGATTTCAGGGTATAGAACTTATCCCGTTACTGTTTCCGTGGAATTTTCAATAGACGATTATGTTAAGCTCAGTAAGGAAGAACTGGGCTTCACCGAAATTGATTTAGTAATGGCAAGAATCATTTACGAGGCTGTTGAAGAGAAAGGAGAGTTTGGTGTGACTGTGAAAGAGTTACAGGTCTGTTTTACAGTATCATTGTTCTCTAGTTAATCAATTAATACAAAGTCCTCCTTAACCGGTCACAAGAAGAGCTTACCACTTTTTATTTTGCTGTAACAGTCCTACACGTTTACGAAAGGCTTGAACCCTCCGATTTTCAGATGTTCAATTAATGGCAAATGACAAAATTAAGGTTACAAGCTCTCAGCTCCTATTCGAAAGTGGAAATAATTATAATGAAAATTTGTAATGGTTGCTGTTGTCCGTGAGTATTTCCAGTGCATTACAGACTTGGTTACTATGACCTTAGTGGGTTGCTTAATGTTTGTCTTTCGTCTTTAGTTAAAACTGCAAGAAAGGAAGTGGGTATTACAAACATTCTAAAATTATAATATTTCTAACGTTGAGTGCAATATTATTTGAGAATGATTCACTTTGTAAAGGAAGTTTGTTTTAGAAAACTCCATAGGGTTTTTGCTTAATGTTGGCGCGCGCGCGAAAATTTTAAGTCAAAAGCCATCAAAAGGCCACGAGCAAGGTTCGGACTATCATTTTCTGTAGTATATATTATCAAAATGATTTTCGTTGTTAAGTTAAGGCTCCACGAAGGGAGGCGCTCACCAGCGATAATTTGGCTTTGCCTTTGATTTACTTCAGTTTACTTCGTGAAATTTGCCCTGCCGATCATTTAAAAGCCGAAAGAAATAGGAGTTACAAAGGCAGTTTCCTCACTATTTGGTATTTGCAAGGTCTGTTTTGCATGTTGACATTTTAAAAGCTCGTGCCATGTTCGCACCCAGATCTCGCGCGGTCAAAAAATCCTATGGAGCCACCTTAAAGGAAGATGTTATTCTTTTTGTCACAGTAAAGGGATGAAAATTAATTCTACTAACACGCACAAAGTTTCAACATGGCTGTTGTGCGAGCCTACTCTAGGACTTAGCTTCCATAGAGTTTCCTGTAGTTTATTGGCAGAGTAGTAGAGCGCGGATTCCAAAGGCTTGGGACTCGTTCCTTTTGGGGAATCAGATTTTTTTCTATTTCCTACCTTGTGACGTAAAGAATCACATCTTTCTTTTGTCGATGAACGACCTCAGGATTTTCAATCTTTCTCTAACTATTTACCTTTGGGTTACTCTAGTGGTAGCAAGACGCAATCCACCCCTATTGGCAAGTAAAGCAAAACCAATGCAATCTCACATTTCTTTCGACGCTCAAGTAAAAATAGTTCTATACCTGAAAGCAATTGCATCTATTACTGCCGAAATATTGCACATAAATCTTGCATCTCCGAGTTTGTCAATTAATAACAGTCTCAAATCGTGTTTTCTCTATACCTGCTTTTCTATTACCTTCTTTGTTTTTAACATTTAAAATTATTTTCCTCTAGACGAAAATCCTGGAGAAACACAAACATGAACTAACTTCATCACAGTATTCTCTTGCAAAACATGTGACGTACATGTGCAAAGCAAAACTGGTAAGTATATTAAGGGCAGTAGTAATATAAATGCACTTAAAAAAACGTCACATAAATGTGTTCAATGGTCAAACTAGAGAGACTAAATAGAAAGTGTTCTTTCTCCGCTTTATTTGTTTATGTTTGAGCCAGATTATTATCTCAAATCATGATGATTATCTAAGATTTCAGTACAAAAGAAAGTCAAATTCAATGAGTTTGAATATGTTTAAACCAAGGACAAGTTTGAATCGCAGTACGCACAAATAAATGGTTTTTTGGTTGTTATAAAGAAACAAACAAAATTAAACAAAGTAAAAAATAAAAACAAGACAGTGAAAGAAGCACAGGTACAGCTTCGTCTCACTTCAGTGGTTATTCCCCTAAACTTTCATTTCAGAAATATTTAAAGGCGTCGCTATCACCCATGGCGTTATCATCTCGTGAAGTATGATTTTTTTAAATTTTAGCTTTACAGAGTTGGTTTGTTTGAGGAATGTCTTGTCACTGCAAGCTTTGTAAAACCCTGGTGTGTGACTGTCCTCAAGGTATTTTGTCGCGTCTTTTTAGCTCAGAATCGTTCCTTTAAAATGTGGCTATAATGACAATGTTTTCCTTATTTAACTGTTTGCCTTGAGAACGCATTTCGTAAAACCAGAAGTAGAGTAATCACATCAGCCAATTAGAGCAAAGGAAGATATCACAACGAGCCTATGAGAATTCAAAATATAGACAAGCAATGTATCTGAAGCACAGGAAAACGCTCTGATCAAGTCGCGGTCGGTTTTAGTTTTGACTGTGATTGGTTAAAAAAGTGGCGCGACTTCTCTGGACCGATTTTTAGAGCAGAAAGAGGAAATCCAAAGCAATCCTGAATTACTTTCCACACCCATTCAAAATTGCTCAAAAATTTAAGCAGATTTTTGCACCTTTTGCTTTAAGCCCAAGGTTTCTGAGCAATTGCAAATAGAGGTACCCAGACATACTGAAGACGTTACAACCGCTGGGAACTCTTTGTCAGAGGCTGATGTCTCGTTAAAGCAACAAGAACTTACCAAGGAAGACCAAGATACACGTGAAGAAACGAAAACTAACCAGAATAATTCTGAAACTGAAAAATCAAATCCTGCCGGTCACCCAGAAACTAATAGTGGCGCTGCTTCGATTGATGACGCTGATCACCTTGAAAATACTGGGCTTTGTAAAGGAGGGACAAACGAGACAGCGGAAGAAGGGAAAAAACCGGAAAAAGGAAAGAAATACAGAATCAAGTAAGTTTTCTTTGTTAAAATACAGATGATTTTTGTCTTGCAGTTTTTCGTTTTTGTGTGCACAAGTGTTAGAAGGGCCCAAACCTGTCCAAGCCCTTATCTTTTTTTGTTACTTGCAGAGTAAACATTAGGCTAAGGGTAAACGTTCTGTCAATGAAGTAAAATGCATAAGGGTTATTTTGAGTGAAACTCTTATAGATTTTTTACCATTTTTTACCAGTAATTATGATCAATATTCCGTGGTGTGCCGCCCATGGATCACAATTGATGGTGACACAAGTCAACGGCTATTGCGCATGTTTCGAGAGATGGTTCTTATGTTGATTCTTGGGAATCCTGGGATATCACAGGTAAGGACCTCGGAACAATGAGCATGATACGTAGCAATTAAATATCTTGTGTTGGGAATTAGAAGTGATAACAAGTAACAAATCTTACGAGTTTTAGGCCAGTTATCAAGTGCGTGTCGAAAAACCAAAACCAAAAGTATCCCAGCTGATAAATAGGACAAAAGCTTCCTTTATCACTTGCCAGTGAGAACTCAAAAATGAAAACAAGCAAACTGCTTGAAGCGCGGGAAAATGCGCCTGACCAAGTCGCGATTGTTTTTAGTTTTGCATCTGATTGGTTGAGGGGATGGTGCGAATCTTCTGGACCAATAACAGTGCGAAGACAAGTGAAACCAAACCAATCCTGAGTAACTTTCGACACTTAATTGAAAATTGCTCTGACGTATTGATAACACGTGTTGATGTTGGTAAAAAATACTCAGGCTTCCCAAGATAGACCAGCATTTCAAGTTAATTATTACAATATTTGGTCTCGTCATTTTTCCCATTAATCCTGTGTTTAGTTTGCAAGCACTATACTAATTTCTTGGTTCAATCGACTCTTCATTTTCTTTTCAATTTCCATTGGAGTAATCGTAGTCACAACAAAGTCGGCGAGGTGATCTCGTTGTTGAGGTAGTTGCAAATCTGTCCATTCAAATTGAAAAGCGGTTTATGATAAGTTCTTTTGTATTCTATATACAAGGCTAAAAGGTTAAAAAATTAAAATGTTTAAACCAAACGTTTTCGGCTGTTTGCCATCATCAGGGTTTTTTTTTTTTTTTTAACCCTGATGATGGCAAACAACAGAAACGTTTGGTTTAAACATTTTAATTTTTTTAACCTTTTAGCCTTGTATATAGAATACAATTTACAAAACGAACATTATGGACATAAGTTCTTTTGTTTTTGTTTTGTCTTCAGAGCCAGATTGCTAAGCATTTCTTTGAAGCCTTACGGCCAGTCGCATTGCAAGATATACTTGAGGTATGAATAAAGGGGGTAAGTTTCTAAAGAAACTGTGGTGCTGCGTCGGTAGGAGAGTATAACAGATAATTTGGTGTTAACAGCTGAGTTGAAAACGTAAATTGGCCACCGTAAAGAGTTAAAAGGCTGACGTTTCGAGCGTTAGCCCTTCGTCAGAGCGAAGCTGCTGACATACTTGAGGTATGTCAGCAGCCTCTTCATCAAGTTTCCTATTTTATGATTTTAGCGAACCTCTTCCGTTAGAAACGTAACAATGTACATGAAAAAATCGCGCGCTTCTGATTGGCTGAAAAGAGAGCATTCTCATGTAACACGAATACAAAAATGGTAACACAAGTAGCGCGTGCACACTTTCAAAATTTCGCCTGTTTTGATTTTCTGTGATGTTTTTTCATGTACATTATTAACAAGCAATAACTTGGGAATAAAGACTGCAAATTGCACTCGCCCATCTTGTTGTTGTCTTTGAAAAATTTACTCGTACTTATTAACACCAAATTGCACCCGAAATTATGTTATTACCTATACTCATTTTTCAGAGTCTTGTGTTGGATGAATGTGTGGTAAAACACAGCAGAAAGCTACCACCCAAAGTTTCTCTTTTCTCTACAAGCAAAGCTAATGGTAAGTTTATTTTATGTCATCACATTTTTTTATATTATGTTTTTTTTTTTACTTTCAAGCTTGGAATATGATACAATAGTTGGTACATACCAGCTACTCCGTGTAATATGTTTCACTTATTTTAATGCAAATCCTTAATTATCTTCAGATGAGCAAGAGCCCCAACACTTTAATTGAGGGCTTACTTGTTTTCTACTGTTCTTCGGTAACTTCTGGAAACCTTTTCCCCTTTTCTATCTTATGAAAATTTTTACAGCTCATATCTTCTGTTTTTTCTTTCTTTTTCCTAACCATAAAGAAAATCGAGGTTGTTGAAAAAGAGAATCACTTCAGCCAAAATTTATCTTAACCCTTTAACTCCCATGAGTGACCAAGACAGAATTTCTCCTTACAATATCAATACAATATCAAGCAGACAAGTGATGAGAATAAAGAAAATTATCAATTTGGGGATAATTAGCTGATCCAATACTAAATTCTCTGAACTAACATTATAAGAATTGTGTGGTTAACAGTAAGGAGAATGAAAAATTTGATCTGGGAGTTAAAGGTTTAAAGAGAATTGGAGAGATACAGAAAGGACGAGATTTAAGATTGATTGTCTCAACTAAATCTTAGATTTGCGTTATCAAACGTTTTGCGCGCATCAATACATGGGAAAAGCAGTTTTCCCTGCTACAGTTCGGGCTGTGGTTGACTTCGTGTGGGTGGAAGCTGGCTAGGTGTCCAAAGAAACTGGTTGGCGATGGACTTGAATTAACATTGGCGTTTAAGGTGCATTTGGTGTCCGTGGTTTTTTTGTTTTGTTTTGGTCTTTTTTGGTTGCAATTGCAAATTCAATTAGTACGAACTGCAGGATCTTTAATTAAAGTATATGATTTAAGGCCAGATCTGCTTAAAAAATGGATGCATGAACGTGCGAACGAGGGAACGAACTTAAGACTGATGAATGTTATTGACCCTTCATAACTGTCTTATTATGGTTGCGTTGTAGAGTCAAGTGAACTGGTGACTTTTTACACTCCAACAGTCGATTGCATTCTGAAGTTAGCCACAAGCAAGCTGACAGGATACACGTGACACTTTGACGTCAAAACTGATTTCATGTCTCACAATGCGGTAAACGTGCTCTTAATACTTTTGGTTACCATCACACTCTTCTACGGGTTTAAAAAGAGGAAATTTGTCATTTATTGTGGACGTCTGGACCACTGTTGACGCGAACGGGAAGAAGACATTTTTTCCTGTCACTTACACTCTGCCTCCAGTTAGCCACATTTAGTTACAAACAAAATTTTTACCTTTATGAGGGAAACTATGATATTTATTTTATGTCAACTATGGCTCTATATTAGAACAGAAATAAACAATAGTTACTTTTCTGAATGGAAACCAAAGCTTCAATTGAATTTGGTATCTGAAACAAAGAAAACAGTGTGTAAAGATGCATCAAGCGTCCAATGAATTATCGGCATGTAGGAAGCCGATATTGTTTTTGTTTTGTGCTATCCTTTTTAAGAATGCATTCGACCCTTTGAGTGGCTCTATCACACTAAAGCATATCTAGGTGATTGCAGCGTGAAGCAACTACAAGAATTGTTTCTCCCCCAAGATGGGATATTGATTATCGCTTTGCAACTTTACCAGTACCCCTTTTCCCCCAGAGAGGAGAGTTGCACCGTGAGAGTTAAGTGTTTCTCAAACCAAATTGCCCAAATGTGTGACTTAATACAAAGGGCACGCGTTGTTAAACTCCCAAACTCGCAAATATCTGAGCGAGCAAAAGGGCGCTTACCACTCAGCAAAGCGATCCAAACGTTCATTTTCCTCTATTTGAAAATTAATTCATTGAAATACGAACTACAGAGAATGTTTTGCGATTTTTCCCGGCCGCAAGAAATCTTACTTTTTCAAGATAAGATTACAGCAATCGTTGAATGCGTTGGGAAAGGTAACCGCGCGCTATGCACGCGCTCCCTGTAATAAAAACGTCACAAGACGAACAATGATGAATGGATGGGTGAAGGTTAAGTCACAGATGAGAAATGAAGATACGATCCCAGATTTTAAAGTACATGCATTTGGATAGAACTTACTGTCTGTTAACAGGTAAGTATTGTTCAGGGGCTTTTCTAATACATGGTTTTGTTTTGTTTTGTTTTTTAACTGTGGTAACAAAAAGCGTTCTCTTGAACTTGTTGAGATGTATCACGAAACTTAGTGTGTTCTTGGAAAAAGATGCTTTGTATAATAAAGCTGTAGTCCTAAAGGCAAAATATTGTTTTCTTTCGCCAAGAACCGTGTGCATAATGAGTATTGGCTGTGCAGAGATCTTACCATTATTCACGCAACGTACTTAAGCCGCTGCGGCTTGGGAGAACGATCATTTTGCGCAGTAAAAATTAAACCTAACGAATGCCGCTAATAAAGTAATTTCAAAACATTTTCAGAGAAACGACACCTCATATCAAAGGACTTTTCTCAACCGATTATAGGTGTCAATGACATCTGTTATGAGGGGAGTACATAAAGAAAAGCTTGTGTCTCACAGAGGGCTCGAAGCCATCAAGTGTCACGCAGGAAATTATCAAATTGAGAGGCTTAGGAAGGTTTAGATTAAAATTCAGCGATAATGACCAAGAACACTTAAAAATAGAACATGAAATCTTAAATTAACAATTTTGGATGATTTTCTACTACAGGAGTTAATAAGCATTCGCTACCCGATCCTTGAATTTACAATAACAACGATGAAATCTCCTGCATTATAAAATAAAACTGATTTTAATCTTTAGCAGAAGTAGACAACCTTAAAGCAATATATCAGCTTTGAGACAATATGGGGAATTTAGATGCTTCGAAGTTCTTTGCTCCTGCCTTCATTCACTTTGTTATTCCTGTGCATTCAATTCTTAGCATCATTTTGTGGGCCTTTGTCTTTCCGTTTTCTAATTATGTGGTGCGAAAAATTTTTCCTAGGCAGGAATGTTCGCATAGTTTTAGAATTGTTTCGCCTGATTGATGTTCATGATGAAATGGTTCTCAATGATGTGCAGTTCTGTGCTTTCATGAAGACAGCCACTGACCTGAGCACAAATCAAATCTACAAAGTGTTTGACATGTTAGATGTAGATGGGTCTGGTGCAATGGACTTTGATGAATTTTACCTACTCATCTGTATTCTCATCGCGGTTCAAGATAAAGCGGAGAAAAACTTCATTTACCGCCATTCAAGGACCGTGTTTGACCTCTTAGATGAAGACAACAGCGGAAATATCTCTGCCTATGAGTTTGAAACGTTTGGATTTCTGTTCAACCTACAAGGCGAAGCTATTCAAACCATATTTGGGGAATTTGACGTTTCTGGAGACCAGGTTTGAAAATAGGGGAAAGTAGTTGGGTAGGTTAAACAATTGAATAACAGCAGTGTTGGAACTCTTCCAGCTTCCACGAAAGAGTCTGTATTCTCTGTTTTCAATGTCGGACGAGAAAAGAACAATTACTCACTTCAACAGTTCAGTTTTGTACAAGGAGGTCGGGGAGATAGGTGAAAGAAAAACCTAAAAAGCGCTAATCTTCTTAACACTTTGACTAAGTCATTTTCGCCTTAAGCAATCGACTCTTACCACTTGTTATTGTCTCGTAGATTTGATTTCACTCATTATCATGGAGCGTTAATAATGATGCTCTTTGTAGTGTGTACATAAAAAGTAGCTAAGCGGTATTTTTTTTATTAATCTATCTTACTTATGCTTTCAGGAGCTCGACTACTCAGAATTTAAAATGTTTGCCATGGCCTGCATTGACCGACAGTCAGAGATAGAATCCAGCAAAGACAAAAAATCAAATATTCTGATTGAGTCAGCGGGGAGAATTCGTAGTTCATGTGTTGTGATGTAATTAAAATTTCATACACTCCTCTACACCTGTATTTTGATGAGATAAATTTTTTAAGCCAGGACTAACGTAGTGAATCTAAGCATCTGGGTATGGAAATAACACTTTTCCATTGGTTTCGACGCAACTATAAATCGTTTTTCTTTAAACAGAAATGTCACAAGTGTTTGAAGTGTGACTCAATCTTAAATTAATTTTTTTCTCTGTTTGAACAGAATCTAACAAGTTCCTTTATTTTGAAAGTGATTAGAATCTGCCGAACAAATTGGATGTACGTCCTAAAAGACTAACAAGGACTCCGGTCGAAGAAATTTGAAATTTAGGCGGTTTCTTATGTTTCATTAATTTTCTGAACACTTGCAACAAACCATCTTTTGCTATTTTTCGCGCTTCTGCCACCGTCATACGAGCAACGTATGTCGTTTTGTAAACTGCTTAATTTTTGAACAAGAGCACATTGTCATTTTTCCCGTGTTGATTCGCACTAAATTCTAGCGTGGGATGGTGAAACGAAGAGATCTCCTCTTTAAAGCACACGATCTAGACACTTTTAATTTAATCCTTTTACTTTCAAGATTCAAATATGCACTCTCTGTACCGTTACAACTTGGACTGAAAGGGCTATGGACAATTCTACCATTTGATCTATAGCGTTAAAAAGTAAAACGAAAAAAAACAGACAAACAAACAACAACAACAATAACTGAACAAAGATAAGCCTATAAATTTTTCAGTCGTAACTGAATAGTTCTTATTTAACGTGACTTTAAGTGACCATAAAATTGAACTTGTTTTGCAATCTTAATTTGACATTTGCAATGCACGCGCTGTAAGGCACACCCTGCTCGAAGAGAAGTCTGGGGAAAGTGCAAGCGATAACCGTGACGGTACATGTAGTCCAGGTTGTTATGGAAAACCTGATAAACGCTCGTAATCAATGTTTAGCCGGAAAGTAATTTGCACTTGAACGTTATCTTATCGTGATCGAAAAAAAAAAACTTATCACCACGGTAGTCAAGACATTGCATTTTTAGTAATTTTGACAATTAAATGCATTGCTTCACTCGTTCAATTTACGGTCGTTTGATTAAGTTATTTCTTATTACAGATTTTTCTCTGCGTTCAGGGAGCCAGTTTTTACTTTGAGCTTTTAACTTTCGTTAACATTTGTTTTTTGAGGTTAGTATTAATTTGAAATAGGTAGTGTCAACATCGGCAAAACTGCTTCGGACAAAGGAATACAAGGCAAAAATACTCCTATCGCCGGGATGGGTTGGTTAAAAATTTATTACAGAGGTCGATCCAAATGTCGATTAAGTAGAACTTATCGATATTTGCGGTAGCATATTATCAAGAGTCTGTCCAAGACAAAAAAAAACCTAAGTGGCTTTTCAAAAGCGATGGGATTATAAAATATTACGAGACTGAGGTGTGAAAAGCTGCAAGAGAACTATTGTTTCATAACAAAAAATATATGTAACAGACTTTTACTTAAAGACTCAAATGCCATCAATCAAGCATCAAAGACATAACTGAGACACATTTCCGTTTAAATCATTAACTTTTCAATATCTGGAAACGTGGCTGAACATTGGAAACTATATTAATTGGAAATCACCCGATTCATAATATTATCGTTAATCAAGGACTTTTTGTCGGGTCTCTTTAGCAAATTCACCGCGAAATATTAGTCGTTATTAACCTCGATTATAAAAACGATTGTTTACCTAAGAGTCTGCTCCTCAGCGCTGAAAGGTCATTGGTGGCTTCGCTTTAAAAAGAATTGAAAGATTGCTTGTTAGTAAGTATTACCTGGACTTGACGCGCGCGTGTAAGTTGGATGTGATGGAGTCGAACAACTCCTCTTCGGTGGAAAGTGGCGGCGACTTACCATCAGAGAGTTACTTCGACGTCAGTTACGACTCTTGTTTAATCAGTCTTAGCGTCCTCATCATCGCCATCAACCTGTTAGTGCTTGTGTTGTTCGTCAGAAGAAGACCTCTACGGACGAAAACGAACTTACTGCTGGTAAGTTTAAGCGTTTCTGATCTAATGATGGGTCTTCTTGGGATCCCAATGAACACCGCTTGCAATGCACTGGTCGGCTATAAGAATTTCTCAGGACTGTGCATAACATCAGCAGCTGTTTACAGGTTTATTGCTGTATCCACTATATTTCATATCCTTATAATTACCGGCGAAAGGTACGTTTCTGTGATCTATCCGTTTAGATACATGACTATTGTGACCAAAAGAAGAACAGTTACCCTCATAACCTCCGTGTGGTTCTTTTCCCTGTTCATGGCGCTGATACAACTTGCGTGGCAAGAACTAGACAACTTCACGTCTCGAAATCCTACCAAACTTCGTTGGGGTCTGATCTACAACATGATTGGAATCGTTGTCTGTTTGTTGATACCTTTAGCGCTCATGTTGTTTTTTTACATCCGAATGTTTAATGTGATTCATCATCAAGCAAAACAAATTAGGAAGCTGGAAACTTTTCATGAGTTTCGCAGCCGAGGCAAACATTTAGTAGCTGAAAAGCGAGCCATATCTATCTTCGCTCTGATGTTGGGAATATTTACGTGCTGCTGGTCCACTTGGTACATAAGCCTGCTACAAGACTACCTCGGCACAGATGTATTCTACGCCATACCGCCAGTATGGCTGCTGGTCTTTGACTTTTTGCGATTCTCTACTTCACTAGTTAATCCGATGTTGTATACGTTCCTGAAACAAGATTTTCGTCGTGAGTTGTGTTTGATGATTCCGTGTTTCAAGAAGAAGAGGAAGAAGAACGAGCGGTGTGATCAAAGTACAATAATGGAATCGCTAGTGTAACGGAGATAAAAAATAAAAAAATAATAATAATAAACCATAATGACATCGAAGTTTTCTTACATGGTCTTATTTCAGCCTGAGCCAAACAACTTTCAAACAAAACAAAAGCGAAGTAATTAAACAAAAATAATTCAAGATATACTTCTGGCGCGATTCTACACGCGTAGTAGTACGGAATATGTGATTCGCATTAAGTCGTCAATTCTTCCCTGTTTGAGCAGGAATTATCCATAGTGTAGCGTTGAAAAATTTAATGAATGGCTATAACAAACTGCGAAGAATCTCTAGTTTCCAAGAACAGAGAAGCAGAAAGTAGAACTAGTGACAAATCTTTTCGAGAAAATTAATAAGCTTTTTTCAGAAGCTGAAGTTTAATTATGAGATCTTAGCAAAACCACAGTTTTTTTGAAAAATAAACACCGGAAAATTATTTGTGGGAAACTAGCGTCTGATTTACCACCTGTGTTTGAATAATCCGATTTATATTAGTTGCACTTGAAGGTGATCTACCTCCGACGTTCCTATTTGCAAGGAATCGATGAGCAGGCGGAAAAGTCCTGCCAGGTCGATGGAAGGAAATCACTGCACCAGTTTTTGATGTATTCCAAAGGAGGAAAGCGATTAAAACTATTGCTTTACGCAACCAACAAGCAAGCGAAATTTCTCCTTATCTTTTCTTTGATCGTATTCATTGCCGCTGTGGTGGGATTTAATTTCCTAGATTCGGTTTGGTGCGTAAGCAATTTGGAACAAAACAAAAAACGAAACCACGTAATTGGAAGCAAATAAAAACCTAAAAGAAGTATCAAATCATTTTGTAAGTTCTTAAGGTTGAAAATACGCTTTTTTCTGAAAAAATTTCGGCAATGTGAAATTTAATTTAATAGGCGGCCTTTGTCTATCATCTCGCACCTTTTCAGTGACTTTCATGTTTTTTTTTCGCGGAAATTCAGGCTTAGAGTTTTCCAGCTGAACTTTTTGTCACAATTGCTTAATTAAAATCTGTGTGAATTTCCATAATTCTAGAAACCCATATATTGACTCTCTTATTATCGGCAAGATAAAGAAAGAATAGCTTTCATTGCCACTTTTCATTAAAGTGCTGATCGCATTGAGACTTCACGCTTTAACGAGGTACTTTGTATCTGAAGGGGAAGTGTTCATTAATTCTGACAGCTGGCTAGTGCTTCTTAAGCGCCCACTGTAGCCTGAAAAGATCCTGAACTAATACTCTGTAAAGAGACTTGTTCACGGAATGTCTTCAGTTAGTTCAATGTACGACGCAATCAAGAAAAATTCGACTACGGTTGATAATTGATTTATCATGGTGCACTTCCTAAGAAAAGTAAATTTATGAACGTGGTATACTTTTTTTAATTGTGCTCCGTCAGTCAATAATAATACTCAAAACCAAACACGAGAAATCCCATTTGATGAATTTCTTGGTGCTTTTTTCGTACGTTTACAATAAATTTGTTTTCTTATTTCCAGTGATAAGGAAGTCCATATTTATAATTTTTCAGTTTACCTTATAAAACCCGAAGCAGGTCTCTAACTTTGATCTTAATTATTTAAATAGAAAATTATCTTGTGTATTGGCTCAATCGAAAAACAACATTTGCAATAACAATCTTTTTTTTTTCATAAACTTATTTTTGAAAACCGCAACATTTGTCATTTATTCTTATGATTATTTTTTTCTGATTGAGGTGGTTTTCTGTCAGCTGTAGAAATAAATTCACCCAACTAATTTCGTTGTTCACTTCCACTGAGTCGTATTTGTGATAACTTACGCGCGTATGGAGATAATCAAAGTGTTTCCAATCTGATGTGATGTCTGATGAGCAGACTTCAATATGAGAAGGACTTTTTCTCTGGTACTCTCGATTACTTGATGAATAAACGCGCTACACCAGATAAAAGGATTAACTAAAAATTAGAATAAACAATGTCCTTCAGGAGATGTGTGAAAAGTTGATAACGTCGAAGTTAATAATGGCGCTCCGTCTTTCCGTGCACTGAAATGCCGCATCACACGCGAGAGCCTGCGTGAATGGTGACCGAAATAGATTATAACTTTAAAGAATGGAAGGATTTGGTCATTACATCGACTGTTATCAGGAAAGGACCGGCAATGGACGCTAAGAAAGTGCTTCTATGATTGGTTGCCATGAACACTGCGCGATGTTCACGAGTATGAAATAGCAAATCTTAACAGTGGACGTAATGCGCTGTTGTTTCTTCTTTTTTAGAGAATCACATCTATGATACGTTTTTGGGGGAAGTTTTCTGCAGTCCAGGGGCGTTTTTAGGTCTTGTTTTTAGAAGAAAGGTTGAAAGTGTAAAATTATCTTTGCACCGTAATTTACGTTATTATAACGTGAGCAGAGACGAAAATCCTCAGGCAAAAGTATTAAATGCGACCTGCCGAACTTCTTAAATTTGCAAACTATTGCAAATTGCGAACTTTGATGGTTTGACATTTTTGACAGCTTTAGTCTTGTTCAACCAATCAGATTATTTGAACCATTCTAACAAGGATTCTGATTGGCTTATTGTAACGTGCTTTATGATAGTACAGAGCATGCTGACGACACTTTTGTTCGCTTTGGAAATAAAGTTTTTTCTGAAAATTGAAAATAATGCGTGGGGAATTTAAAAGATTCTTTATTATAAAACAAATAGAGAAGCCTTGACTGTGCCCTGTTCTGTTTTAAAGCACGCAGGAAGCGACTAAAGCACTCAAGAAGGGGGGGAAGAAACACTTGACTACGTCTCCTGTTTCCCCCCACACTTCTTTCGTGCTCCAACCGCTTCCTATGTGCTTTACAACAGAACAGAGCACAGTTAAAGCTTCTCGTTGTTAACGCTTAAGAGAAGAACTGCAGGCAGCGAAAAGTTTTTCTTTTAACACAAGAGACTGGTGTCAAAATTAATGTTCTCGACAATGACCTTAACCTAACTTTTCCCATAATTTGGTTTTATCAATTGAGTTAATAATGACGCTCTGGGAAGGAGATAGCGCTCGAAATATCAGCTTTAGAAACTCTACGATTACCAATTTACATTATCAGCTCAGTTGATAAAACCAAATTCTCTTGTTACACTCCCCCACCAACGCAGCACCACAGTTTCGTTAGGAACTTCCCCCCATTTATTCATTTTTCCGCAATTGGCTGCCGAGGGCTGCCGAGGGCTGCCGAGGGCTGCCGAGGGCTGCCGAGGGCCGCCGAGGGCTGCCGATGTTGTAATAGGCGGCTGCACCGTGAGGCGAAACCCAAAGAACTAGAGAATCCTCACATGGTAAACAGACGGTGGAGAGGAGTCTTATAGGCGGTGTTAAACCCCCGATAGCCCCGCCTTTGATCGAAATCACTGCCCTACCCGTCTTTTCTCAGGGCACAGAAACCGACTACTCTCTTGGATTTTCTGCGAGTCCAATATTTCAATCGACGCGTAGGTGAAATGGAAAGAATCAACGATACATGTCAAAGAGAGTAAATTTTATAGAATGATAAAATGGTTTGCTGCCACAAAGGAAGGTTTGTTTACAGTGGCTACCAGGCCATCAATCTCGTAACCCTTTAGTCCCTAAGAGTGACAAGCATTTAATTTCTCCTTACAATATCAGCCCTGAATCAAACACGAAAGTCATGAGAATAGAAGAGATGATCACCAACTAAAGCAGCTCTTGATTGTGAAACAAATTCTCCTTGTCAGCCTCTTTGGAAATGTATAGAGAACAGTATGGAGAATATTCTTACTGATATTAGGATATAAAGGGTTAAGAAACCCATCAAACTAACGAAACTAATGGATGCTACTCGATATGGAGACATGTTTGCAAGGAAGCCGGTTACCGTGAGTCTGTGGAATCGAAAAACCGGGCATACACAGTTTAAAGGATGATTGACATTATCTGGTTTCTGGAACATATTTCTACCTTCAAGGGGCAAGGAAATCGTTGAAAAGTAAATAGACGTTACCCTTTTTGTGATTTGCACACCTCCTTTATAATAGGACGATGCTATGATCCGTAGAGTCAGTTTACCGTCGGAATAGGAAAAGTAACGAAGAATGAAGGAAATACCGAACAGCTATGACGTCTGCGTATTACAGGGTGTAAAGTCAATGATCTGTGCGTCCTTTGACTAGGGATTTTATCAGTGCCCGTCAATTTGGCTGATTTCAATAACGTCTGGGTTCTATTTTAATTCTAAACATGGGTTCTGTTGGATAGGCAGCAGATTGCAAGTTCGTTTTATTTTGTTCAGTTTCTAGTTCTATTTTGTATTTAGGTGTTTTTTCCTTTTGTTTTCAGTTGAATCATACACACACACCCACCCATACACGCGTTTACCCTGCACTCTTTCGGGGACTTGAATATGGACACAGCAGCATTGTGGGGACTGTTCAGATAGTGGGACATTTTTGCGTCTCCACAGAAAAATTCTTTAGAAATGGCTAACTCTTTGAACGTACATATTTTAAATGGGGACATTTGGGGTGTCCTAGTAAGTCTGTTGTGTGAAATACACATAAGTGTTCCCACAAAACGGCGAAAAAGGAATAAATGAAAAAATAATCATTTTCTGCTTCGCATCATCTTAAGAGTAACCTAAGAAAGCCATTTACATACTTAAATCAAGGAGGTGGGGACCTGTGTACGCACAACTCACTAAGAATGACAATGACAATGACAATACTAATAATGGTTTAATGACAGCGTTTCCACATGGTGGCTCTACAACTGACATTACAATTAAGTTCAAATTACAATAAAAATTGTAGTAAGCCTATATCTAACATAAATGTACATACAAAAATATTAAAAATGCTGTGTGTAGACTAACTAGAATTGGAAACAATAGAATTGGTAATAAAATATACAAATGTACAAATAGATGTATACGAAATCAAATATTTACTTATTAAAAAGGAAAAATGCATTATACGGTACAACTAATTACTTATGTGTTTCCACAGTTCCTTCTTCATTT